TAGCGAAGAACCATACTGATTTTATACAAAACTCATATACACTTATGATCTCATTGTTTTTCATATTGAGGAAAATTATGAAAATTATTGTTATTTACCCCTAATATCTATATCAACCAGAACACATTTTGTAAACTTATACAGTGAATAGATTCCTAACGGCTAACGAGTCAAACACTGAAGAGCATTACTTAGAAGGGAGATACTCATTAAACCAGTTTACTCACTGATTGAAAAAGAGCGAAATTACGACAGAATACTTCAAGACAAGTGTTCTATCGTATTGCCATTATTTTAAAAATATAGGTGCCCACATAGACGAACTCGAATGAAAGGTTTTCTTCTTCAAATAATGGCATTACTGTTACATTTTAGAAAAAAAAATAATCATTCTGAAATACCATTATAAAATACTATATTTTTCATTTAATGAATACAGTAAGGCAAAACCAATCTTCCAAACAATTTTAGCGAACATATATTTCAATTGTGCATGTGAATCATGCATATTCATGAAAAAAATGACATTATCATAAAAAATACAGATAAAGAAGTGATTACAGTGAAAATGAATTCTGTAATTGAGTTGGCATATTCATGAGTGCGTAAAAATGCAAAAAATCCAGAATTATTCAGTAATAACAATATGTATTGAATGCGTTATGAACTTGGAATAATTACTAGATATGATTATGGTTTGAAAAAATATCAAATCAAATATGCAAAACCATCTAAAAGAAATTGAAAAGAAGGGGTCGTGTTTGGAAATATTGATAAAATTGTTACAAAAATGTTATTATTCTCTAAAAAACTCACAATATTATTCATCAACATTATTTGGTTTTACTTAAATATTTAATATGCACAAAATCAATACATTGTATTAAAAGAAACGGACGCTACTTGCTAATAATTTATGTTGAAACACAGGTTGTGCATTTTCAGTTTGAAAATATTTCTCGACTTCGATTTAATTTTTACAAAAATTGCTCTGCACGATTTTTTTACGACCGGGCAAAAAATGAAGTCCAGATATTCAACTATCGCTTGTATAAAACAAGCTGTGTGAAAGGTGGTTGCATTGCAGTAAAAAACTAAGCGTCTTTTCCGAAAATGACACTCGTCTATTACAAATTTGTAAGACAAAGTTAGACAGTATTTACGCAAAAGAAAATAGTTCAAAGAGGAAGGGACAATTTGGTATGTTGTTTGTTTTGAAATAATAAGAATTACAAAGTAGCCAAATCCTATTGGAAATCAAATTTCAATATAATAGTAAAATTATCTTTTCGTAAATATAACGATATAAAGATGTGTCTGTGCAGATTAAGATAAAAAGAAAATATTTTTACAAAGTAGGTTATCCTTGTAAAGATTTTTTACTATATTTGCCAATGTTGAGAATAGGTCATTTCGTTTTTTGTACATGTATTTCATAGTAGGTATAGTGTCCGGCTGGGATGGTGTTTTTTCGAGTGATTTAATCGTTTTTTTTTTTTAGTATGACCACGTTTCTTCGAGTGAATATGATCAAAAATGTAAACGAACATATTTTCTTTCTGCTAAGACGTAAAAAAGAGTTAAAATAAAACCTTATATACATGATCATAGAAGGTATATTAGTATTTTTGATAAAAAGATATTATCAACCCTCCATTATTTTGTTTTGAAAACGCTTAACTCAGCCTTACAATGCTTTATTCCAAAATATAGATTAAAGCCATTTTTACTCACATACCAATGCAAATGTCAACGGATATGCGTACATTGAATCTTTATATACTTAGATTACAGACACTTTACAAAAAATCTTGTTTTTTTTCATAGAAAAATACATTTTGGAGAGTAAATTCATTTTTATAAACTAGTATCCGAGCGCAGTCCTTGTATTTTCGAGTGCGTCCGTGTTTTATCGAGTGAAAAAAATCCTATGGCTTAAACTGGAATATGTCAGTGCATTTACGTTTAAAAACAATGAAAATGTTCAAATATTATAAAATAGTGCTTTGCAAAGCACGAAACAATGCATTAAACCAGTTTGATAATGCTGTTTTAACACGTACATTTCTTTAAAAGGCATCGTTCATTTGTGTTTTTATAAATCTTAATGTTAGTGCACAGATATGGGTTTCATACGGTTAATATTTCGTGATGTAAACACTCTTTATGTGAGTTCAGACATGTTGGATTGAGACGTACGTACACATAGTGTGTAAAGCAAGTAAATGTGTGTTTTTCTAACAGAAAATACACCCTAAGTGTTTAATTTACTATTTATCTTGTTGGTAATATGTTTTATCGTTCTAGAAATGGAAATCTAGAATTATATTCAAATGATCCTACTGTGAAGAGGTCACGTCCGGTCAGAATGGGGTGTGTAGAGAGAGTGCCACGCTCACTTCACGTTAAGAACCCTTACAACAGTACTTTGAGGGTTACGTACGGGGCCTGTTGCAAGGCAACATTTCTGTCCTTATTCAATATACCCTCGTTTTCAGTAGCACTCTCCCGACCTACATCCCGAACGTCCTCTGTTACAGGACCTAACTATTGGATTTATTGTCAATTTGTTCTCGTCATGAACATGCATGAAATATTTGTCATTGGACGTTAAGCAACCAACAATCAATCATTCAACATTGTCCGTTTATAAATTTAAAAATTAAAAAGAACCTAAGGTTTCAACTCCATGAGGCAAGGTTTAACTTAGATGGATTTGGCTATTTACTAGGTACTTTTGGTCATATAAGTCTACAAATATTTCGGTTCTTATACATCCTTGGCTTTCAAATATTTGGCTTTGATCGTTACGTATGAAGGTAATCTAGAAAAGCGCTTCGGACGCATGAAAATTATAAAGTGTTGTTTTCATTTTTTATAAAATATTCCATTCAATTCAAATGTTATTGTATTTTTTTTCTTCGTTTTGCTCCTATGTTTTTCGTCATCGTTATATATATCATTCATAAAATATTCTTGACTGTAAAGACAAAGTAGCATGAAATGAAGTTGAAAATATTATGAGTCCCTGTACTCGGTTCTAAAGACCGTTTTAAAAAGGTTTTAAAAAGGACACAGTGATTACTTATATATCGTAATACTGCAAGGTTATGGCAAAATGTTTTCAGAATAGGGGGTTATCGTTAAATAGAAAAGAGTTATATTTGATCAACATAGTAATATGTTTTTGTGAATTATTAAGGATATATAATGTTGTCCTTTGCAAAATTACAGTTATAAACTAGAATAAGTAGGCTTTTAAGCCCAAGAATGTCTTCTATTTTATTCACATTTTCATAAAAACAAACCGGATCATTTGTTGAAAAACCCAGACGTTTTAAATGTTGCTCTCATTACACTCATGAAAGAAGACAAAGTGCTTTGATCCAATATGATTGATTCTGGAATGTACATAGATATAAGAAGATGTGGTATGAGTGCCAATGAGACAACTCTCCATCCAAGTCAAAATTCATAAAAGTAAACCATTATAGGTCAAAGTACGGTCTTCAACCCGGAGCCTTGGCTCACACCGAACAGCAAGCTATAAAGGGCCCAAAAAAGTACTAGTGTAAAACCAATGAAACGGGAAAACCAACGGTCTAATCTATATAAAAAAACGAGAAACGAGAAACACTTATGAACCACATCAACGGACGACAACTACTGCACATCAGATTCCTGACGATTACTTCTTAATCTAAAATTAAACCTCCCAGATTTTTGTTGAGTTAAATATGCTCCTGCTCCAAACGTCTGAATTAGCACTTTATTCAATTCTCTCAAAATCATGTTGCCTCACTTTAATCATTTAAAGATTCAAACAATACCGAAACATTGTCTGTTGTTCAAATACAAAATGAATGAATTTTAAGTGCCAATCTAACTAAGAATCAAGCAATGGTGAAAACATAAAAAATGAATAAAAAACCCACTCAAGTTTACATTAATTTAAGTTTAAAATGTATAATAGACGTGCACAAATATAACATTCGTTTCCTTTTCCTGTTCTAGTAATTCAAGAAATAATTTGATTGAAATGCACTAGAAATTACCAGTTGAGGGGAGCTAACTACGTAATTTGCAATCATTATAACCAAAAGAATATAAAGATTACTCGAATTACTAGACACACAGAAACGAAAGACCTAACATTCCTACCTCATGGTGAACGTAACTTCAAATTGGATAGTTAAGTCGGTTGGGTTTTTTTTTCGGTCATGTTTTGAAATTTTTCTAAATCGCCAGATTTTTACAAAGACTGGCACTTAAGTATAACACAGTTCATACAGATTAATAAAAGAAGTCTTCATTTTTTAGAAAATGCTTGGATTTTCATTTTCGAACAATATTCTCAAGCTTAGACCTATCAAAAATTTTCAATTTGCTTTATTCTACATGTGTAATTTCCATGGCAAAAAGTATTTTTCGAAAAAAAGAAGCAATACAAAATTTAAATTCAACATGCGTCGGTGTCAGTTATCACATCGGTGAAATATAATTGTATCTAATATAATTAAAACATGTGTTACGTATCTAAAACAAGGAGATGCAATATTAGTAACAATTACTTATAGCGGTTTACAATAAGTAATGATAATTTCAGATATATGAGAAGGTACTAGACATGTATGTTTAAATTGTTATTGACGGAAGGACAAAAGTAGCATTTTAATATAGATAGCCTATAACCTACTAATAGATACAGTCACCATAACCTGTTCCAACTTATGTTACTTCATTTAATTTACTGATGATTTTGTATAACATATTAGAAAAAATATTAATAAAAGCTATTTTTTAAATTCTCAAAATCTTTAAATCTAATTATTGTCATATGTTTTTCATCTCTAGTGCGTAAATAACACAACCTGTTTCACAAATTCTTATAAAACCTTTTTGAAATTGGAAGGACAATATAATATTGACTAAGATTGGCAGATACGTACCCAAATTCGTCAATATATCTGATCAATGTACGTGTCCACACGTGGGTTTATTATGGGTACATAAGCAACTTTTCATCACATGACACTCAAGCAGCCGGAGTCATGGAGGCACGACCGGGAGTTTTCCTCTTGTTGCTTGTGACAGTCCTACAAGCAGTAGTTGGTAAGATGAAATTTTAAAGATGTTACGTAAAATTATCTGTATGTAGACATTTGAAAGGTTTGTTGGAGTAACTTCCCTTTTAAAATTAAATACTTTTGAAAATTTGTGCATTTACATTTAATGATCATTCTAATTATAAAATTAAGATAACCAGCGGAACATTTAACTTAAAATAGAATAGAGGGTGTATGAAATTTGAACATAGGTAATGTATTGTTGCATAGATCGATATATGCTGACTTCTAATTATTAATTGTTTTTTATTATGTCTTTCCACTTTTCTGTGGTAAGACCTATTGTATTTGTTCTGATTATTATTTTTTTTCTTCCGCCAAATTTTGTTATCGCGTAAAATTTTTGTTTCGCAATATGTCGCTAAGATATTTCTTAAATAGTATCATACAGTATATGCGCTTTTTATTTTCACCCATTCTAAGCCGAACAAATTTTCTTTGTAAGAGTTAACTCCCTATTCACTGTTTATCAAGTGTGTGCATCTCCTTCGTAACAAAAAAAGATATCGAAAAAAATCTTTTTTCTAAATTGTTCGTTACATCCTCAGAAATTTTTGGCTAATTTGGATCAAAGCGATATTTTAAAGGAGTTATCTACCTTTACCAAATAAATTTGTCGGTATGTTTTTTTAACTCATAAACCGTTAACCGTATAACCCTGGAATCTTTTTATTTGAGGTCCCTAGGTCCTAACTTAGAAAATGAGGTCAAGGTCAAGTTCTCAATTTTGACTTTTCCTTGTTTTTGCATTTTCTCAAACACTTTTGAAGAAATATATGAAACAACAAGTGCAAAATGTTTGCTTTATTGTAATGTAATATCATTTGGTCTGAAACAATCTAATGGCATAATATAGGAGTTAGTGCCCCTGAAATGTCCAATTATAAGGTTTATTGATTATTTCTTCAACTTGGTTCATTATAAAGCCATATGACCTTATACAAAAGGTTGGATAACATATGACATTGAAAAATGACATGCGGAAGTGACCTCGAGAAAACCGGAAGTAGCCATTTTTGCACTTTCTTCATGGAAAAGTACTCGGAATCCATATATTTTGTAATTTTAATACATTAACTTATCACTGAAGACTAGAAATGACGTTCGATAAACCAGAAGTGGAGAATTATCTCCTGGTTTACAAGCAAAAGTATATAGAAACTATATATTTTTGGAATCAGTGTGAAAGAAACTATTATATGAGACCGGAATTGACATTTACTTCACCGGTAGTAGCTAATTATCTCCCTTATTTCACTCAGAAGTATATAGAAACCACTTATTTATCGCATCAGTATGAAGATGATAAGATGCCAATTTTAACTTGAGTAAACACGAACTAGCTTCTTTTCAATAAATCTTAAAATCGCTGTGGAAGTCCTTCAATTGTTCTCTGAACAATTGGTTTTTAATTCTTTAATTTGATTGTATTATAGGTTTTTTTTCGTTTGAAAAATGGGTTAGGGTTGGGGTTGTTGATCATAGTCAACAATATTGGTTTACAGTCTAACAGAATATATTTCATACATATTCAGGTTGAAAAAAATAATGCATAAAATATACAGCTTTCAGTTTTAAAGAGGTTATAATGTTTCGTGTAAAAAAGGTGTATCACGTTACTATTATAAACAAAGTTCTAACGTTCTATTAATAGTTTTCTTTTCCTACTGACTGTATATTTTTGTCAAAATATAATAAAATTTTTCACAATTATATATATTTTTTTTTCGGAAATTTTAACATCAACATCAATTTTTTTTTATCTTTTTAACATCAACACAAACTACTTAAACTTTTAAAGAGCTTACATGGAATATGTGTATGGTTATTAAATGTACTTTGAAAAAGAAGCAACGACAGTATTTCAATCTTTCGTTTGTATTAAACTTTGTATTCAACGGTGTATGAGGGTAAAGATAATTCTGTACATTTTGCAAATTTGTTTTTATTAAAGACTTTGATTAAGTTAAATCAAAGTCTATTCTATAGTCATAAACTGAAAAAGAAAATCTTCCTATTAGTAAGTTCACACATTATGATAAAATAAAACGACACGCGTTTTTAATTGTAATAGGAAATTGCAATGCTACTGGTACTTGTTTGGCCATTAATGGTCAACTGTGTTTTTACTTTATTCAATTCTGCTCTTTGGTAGGGTTGTTGTCTCTTTGACACATTCGCCATTTCCATTCTCAATCTTATTAAAAAAGCCCATTGTCTGCAAAAGGAGTAACATTACTATTTAGTATGTTTAAGCACACGTATATCGCGGTAAAATTGTGTAAGTGTTTATGACAACAGATGTAGTTACATATAAAAATAAGAAGATGTGGTATGATTGCCAATGAGACAACTCTCCAAAAGAAACCAAATGATACAAAAATTAACAACTATAAGTCACCGTACGGCCTTCAACAATCACAAAGTCCATACCGCGTAGTCAGCTATAAAAGACCCCGAAATGACAAATGGAAAACAATTCAAACGAGAAAAGTAACGGCCTGTACATGTACATTTGTAAGAAACAGTCGTCCCACGTGCAATACAGCTTAAGGATGTTCACTACTCTGTTTCAAAATAACAAGCTTTTTGAAAGACCATAATAAATTGATAGTATTTACATAAAGGAACTTAAAAAGCAAATAAAAATTAAGGGTCCATGTGCTTGTTTTCGAGATATAAGCCATTGAAAATTTGGCGGGAAATGATTCTCTCTAGATTTTTCATACATTTAACATTGGCACCTTTTTTCTTTCAAAAACTATGAAAAAAATAACAAGGATTTTATAAGATTTTGAAATATGGCTTTTTAAACTTTTTGTAATGATATTATGAAAAGAAAAGTAGGGGTTAGTGAGCAAAATTTTTTAATGGCACTACATGGATAAAACCAGAGGATTCCGAATATCTGGCAAAAATTCTAAAACAAGAGAATCGAACATCCTTAAACGAATACATTAAAGGTATCAGAGATACCAGGCTAATAATTTCGTTCGTCGGACGTACATTTTTGATGTATAAGAATTATCAGTGTCGTTCAAGAAGGCCAAATCAATAACGAACTGAAGAGTTGCAAACCAACAATACTAAAAAGAGACACGGAATACTTACCAAAGGGATATTCAAATTCTTAAGTCGATGAAAAACTGAAATACGACAAATAGACAAAAAAAGTATACAAAACACAACATATACAACTAAAGACTTAACAAAACAAATCCCTCAAAAAAAAAAAAAACCGGAGGTGATCACAGGTGCTCCAAAAAAGTATGCATGTTCCACATGTGGCACCCGTCGTGTTGCTCGTGATGTCGTTCGTACAATTTTTGACGAGATGACTAAAACGTCACCACTTGGAACCCTTGGTTTAAAAGATTCCTTGTGAGCAGCAAACCAAAGAGATATTCAAATTCGATGACAAACTGTCAACGTCATGGCAATAACTGAAATACGACTAAAAGACTAACAAAAATATAGAGAACACAACATAGAAAACTAAAGACTAAACAACACCGGGGGTGATCACAGGTGCTCCGGAAAGGTATGCAGATCCTGTTCAACATGTGGCTCCCTCATGTTGCTCATGATGGCGTCCGTACAATTTTTGAAGGGATAGCTTAAACTTGGCTTAAACGTTTCCTTGTGAGCAGCAATCCACAAACAAGGAAATCATGATAGGAAATACAAGCTCTGGACTATCGTATCAAGTGGGAGATATGATCTCCATTTGCATTCGCTGCTGGAATGTTGCTACATGGAAATGAAAAGTTCATAATTGGAATGATCAAATAATCTTTTTTTTGTCGTAAATCTTTATTCCCAACCGCCCCTATTATCAATTCCAAATTTATTTACAACCACTGGGTCGATGCCACTACTGGTAGAGGTTACTTCCCAAGAGTATCACAAGCCCAGTAGTTAGCATTTCTGCGTTGACATGAATTATCATTGATATATTCATGAAATAAGATGAAACAGAACTATGAAAACAGACCGTATACCGTTAAACGTGCCTGCATGTCTATTTGTATTTTATGTTTACCTGTTTATTTGTTTACCCATCTGTTTATATTTATGATGATAATGGGGTAACATGCCCTTCGACGGTGTTAATGGATCATGTCGAAAGTTAATTACGTTGCATCTCGTCAGGAATACATCGAAATGTTGATTTTATAGAGTATAATAACAAAAATACCTAACTCCAAGGAAAACTCAAAACGGAAAGTCCCTTATCAAATGACAAGATCAAAAGCTCGAACACATCAAACGAATGGGAAACAACTGTCATATTCCTGACTTGGTACAGGCATTTCCTTATGTAGAAAATGGTGGATTAAACCTTGTTTTATAGCTAGCTAAACTTTTCACTTGCATGACAGTCAGATAAAGTTCCATTATATTGACAACAATGTTTGAACAAAACTAACAGTCACAATGGGCAAAAATGTCAAAAATAGGGGTCAACATTGTGTTATTATCTTAATCACTATAAAAGCAAACAAATATGTCAACAAAGAAAAACAAAATGGCATATAGACAAAGCACATAAGCATATAAGATTCCAGACATGTGCATTGCTTTCGTTTTTATATTTATTAAATGATATTTGCGAGTTTATATATATTTGTTGGTAATACATTTGACAGCTAATGCACATTTAAACGTACTAGTAATAGTTTCATCATCTATTATGAATATATATTTTTTTTTAGCGAGCAAAAAAGAAATAATTTGCGAAAACTCCAAAAAAACATTGTCCTGCCCATCAAACAAAGTAATCAAGATACAGCAGGCAATATATGGTAGATCTAATAGAAGAACGTGCAAACATCAACATATAAAAACAACTCGTTGTTCTACGAAGAAACCCATGGGCATCACAAGGAAGAATTGTAATGGGCGAAAATCATGTACTGTTGCTGCAAATAACGGGTTGTATGGTGATCCTTGTCCTGGAACATACAAATACGTCTTTGTTTCCTATTTCTGCAGAGGTATTGTTGTGTTTATATATTGGTGTCATGACTAGGTTTTACAAAACTAAAAGTGCAAATCACTCATGAACAAAGATATAGAAATAGTAAGACTTACAACCCAATTATAATATTCCGTGTATGCAATTACATAAAAACCCTTTTAGCACTTCTGTGTTGACATGAATTGTCATTGATATGGTCATAATTATAAATTACATGTTTACAATTTTAATTTTTGTAATACTAAGGCTTTTCTACCTCAGAAATAGATTACCTTAGCTAAATTTGGCAAAACGTTTTGGAATTTTTGGTCCTAAATGCTCTTCAACTTTGTACTTAAATTGGCCTTTTTAACTTTTTTTTATTCGAGCGTCACTGATGAGTCTCTTGGAGACTAAACGCGCGTCTGGCGCAAATACAAAATTTTAATCATGGTATCTATGATGAGTTTATTCAGCCTACTGTAGATTTCTTTTTTTTCAATGCTAGCAATTAAAGTGGATTGTAGAAAAAAAATATGTTTGTGGAGCTCAACTTATTGGGTTTTTTTTTTATTTTCGTTTTGTGGAATAATTCACTTTGTGCTGATCTTTACCCACCAAATCATAACAAAATGGAATCCCACGTTATATGCCATATGTCCAAATGTATAAATTTTTCGTAATATTTCTTCTGAAGTTTTTGGTAGTGTTTTTTTCTCTATAAAATAGTCCAAAATAACTTACTTTCTGTCATCTTACTATAACTGCTTCTGAAAATCTGAAAATACACCAACCTTTAAGTTGATAATTTGCCTGGACAATGATATGCTTAAGAGGATTAAAACCACCTATTCACAATCATATTGCTTTTCATGTTAAATTTTGCAATATCAAGCATTCATAGCTATTTCGTCGTAAGTTCAAATAAAGTGATAGTCATTTCATGTCAAAACTATACATTATCATGACTTGTGCTAAAAAAATCAACATACCTGTCATTGTATATTAGAGCGTACTGATTCTCGAAAGTTTGGTAGTACAAAAACAAGTACTTCTGATCTGAACAACTGGCAAATATGCCCTCCTATTTCAATGATATAATATAAATATTTTATTATTATTTATAAGTTAAACTTTCACCATGAGTTTTTACAGTAATCCAAAGACCATCAGCTATTATTATATATCAAAATTACTCAAATATTGTACTTATTGAGACATTACACGAGTAGGAACTATTGTTTTGTAAATATGTACTACTTTTTAGGTATTTTCTCTCAGACAGAGCCCAAATTAGTTGTTCGATACCAAGACAACAGCTCCTTTCAGTATTGTTTGCAATTATTTAAGAGCCGTATAAATTCAAAACTGAAAAACAAAATTTACTGACGAAGGCGTCTGTTTAGCCTGCAAAATGTTTAAATAAGAAGACACGTCCGTCCGGAATTCGAAAGTTATTGACTGGGTTTGAAGCCAACAACCATTTTACTTGGCCCGAAAACAGAACTAATGCAAAAATACTAAGGTTGAAGGTGGCAGTTCAAACTGAAGGTCAAACAAAAAACATTTTGCTAAACAGTTATAAATAGACAGGATTCTCGGTCACCAGATGTTTTATTTGACCCGAAAACTGAACTGATGCTCCAAACCGAAGGCTGAGGACAATATTTTCAGTTTGATTGTCAACTCCAGCTGTTAACCGAGTATCAAGTCTATCACTGTTTTAATTTGCCACCAAACTACCATTGTCTATGAAACTATAAACAGTCAAAATATGAAGTTTTCTACATAATGTTATTAAAAACTTACTGAATGACTAACCTTAAAATTGAAATCTAGTAAATTATTCAACGAGTGACTAAATAGCACATTAATTCACGCATGCGCGTAGCATGTGTTAATTTTCAGTTTTGTACGGTCACGAGCTGAATATTTTTTTCTATATTGAATTCGTGGATTAGTTATTTATTTTCATTACATTGACCACTGACTTTTAAATAGGAATAACACAGAAAATGCAAGGAACTTTATCTTTTCCTACACTTTTTAACAACACCAATTCTGTGTGATATCAGAGGAGAGAAATAATTGTTTTTTTTGGTGGGAAATCACGGTATTAGGTATAACCATTAAATATTTCCTTGTCTAGGGAGATAGCCATTCTTGTTTAACATGAAAGAACCCGTGCAACACCTTTTTATAATGAAACAGTCCATAAGTGGTTAGTTGTAATGAAAATTTCTGTTCCTATACAACATATATGTACCCTCGTAAAACAGTGTCAGTCATTGCGACCTTTATTCATGTCGAACCACTTTGCAGAGGTACCCTTTAGACCTTGACGTTCAGTAGCATAAAATGATATGTCACTGGCAAATAACAAAACAACAACAATCGATTGGCATTTCTTTGAGTTCATCTCTGCATTGTTGAACCGAGATGTGTGCTGTATAATCTTAAGTTGCATTTTCGAAGTCTTTCTATATGAATTGGATTTTGAATAAGACAACATATTCATTCGAAGAAAAGTAATATTCTCCGTCTTTAACGTCACTTGCTTTTACAGGTAAAACTATGGTAAAATGTTTGATATACAATTGCTTTTGATAAATTACTGTCATTTAATACATGTTTGTCTCTTTCGGAATATGGAATAAAGCAATTAGTCTTTTGTTTCGGTGAATGTATGTCCTAATTGACTTTTGAAAAACTGGTTGTTGGCCTCAGTGCTATCAGCTTTCAAAAAGTCAACAGAAAACACATATTTACCCATCAAAAGATATTACTGTATAATATTAAACTAGTGACTGAACAGTACTGATAACACACGTGTGCGCTACGCGCATTTATGAATGCATGTAATGTTGGATCACTCGTTGAATATTTTTCATTAATTGCATTTTTTATTAGTTATTCTGTAAATATATATCAATGTCAGCCATGAAACAACAACAATTACAATACCCATTGTTCGATCAATTGTCCATTTTGCAGGCACTACACGCAAGTGCAGGAGAAAATGTCACAAAAAAGCCAAGTGTATAAATGGAAAATGCGTATGTAAATCAAGATACCAAGGTGACGGAGTTAGATCTTGTAAAATCAAGAATGGTATGCATATTAATAGTATATTTTATTATGATTAACATGTTTTATTATCTTATTTCTCGGTTTTTTGGTAGGTTCCGTGTTGCACAGTCTTTAGTTTTCTATGTTGTGTTATGTGTACTGTTGTTTGCCTATTGGTCTTTTTTTTTTTTTTTTTTTGCCATGGCATTGTCAGTTTGATTTCGACTTATGAATTTGAATATCTTTGGTATCTTTTGTCTCTCTTCTTTTCATTATGACTGACTAAAGTCAGCAGTTAAACCAAGTTGTTGAGGCGATTTTTAAACATAAGAGTCAGAATAAAACAAAATCGTTTCTCAGTGTCAACAAAAAAATTACAACGAATACAGTACATCGTAATTTGTAAATCTGTAATGAGTAAATGTCATAAAAGAGCTAAGTGTATGAAACGTTAATGCGTCTGTGAAACCGGATACCAAGGCGACAAAGTAAAATGTTGTACAAAGGTCAAATGTATGTACTTTTATATCATTCAAGTTCTTTCTTGACAAATTTTTATTCCTTTTTCCATTAGGACTGACTTAGGCATCGACAAAAGTAGAAATCGATATTTTATCGTAAAAAAAAATAGGTATTCATCAATGTCAGAAATGAAATCATAATAATCATACCTTGTAATTCGAATAACTGTCCATTTTGCAGACATGACACCCAAGTGCAGGACAAAATGTCATAAGAAAGCCAAGTGTATAAGAGGAAAATGTATCTGTAAGTCAGGATACCGAGGCGACGGAATTAGATCGTGTACAAACATCAAAGGTATACATATTTATAGTAAACATGATTATACTGATTATCTTTTTATCAAATCTTGTATTATTACTGACTATAGTCAGCAGCAAAAGCAGTTGTAAAGTAGATCTTAAAATTCATGGTCGAATAAAACTAAATAGTCACAATTGTCAGCAATGCAATAATAACAATTCCAGTACCTCACAATTGAAACAATTGTCTTGTTTGTAGTTAAGACATCAAGATGCTTGAAAAAATGTCACGGAAAAGCCAAGTGTATAAATCGAAAATGCGTCTGTAAATCAGGATACCAAGGCGACGGAATTAGATCTTGTGTAATCCGCAAAGGTACGTAAATTTATAGTATACATGATAATGTTTAGCATGCTATTATTAACGTATTCAATGTGATTGAATAAAATCAGCAGCAAAAGAACTTTTCGAGCCGATTATGATTATACTTATTATCTTTTTATTAGCTCTTTTATTATTACTGACTATAGTCAGCAGTAAATGCAGTTGTAAAGTAGATCTTAAAATTCATGGTCGAATAAAACGAAATAGTCACAATTGTCAGCAATGCAATAATAACAATTCCAGTACCTCACAATTGAAACAATTGTCTTGTTTGTAGTTAAGACCTCCAGATGCTTGAGAAAATGTCACAGAAAAGCCAAGTGTATAAAACGAAAATGCGTCTGTAAATCAGGATACCAAGGCGACGGAATTAGATCTTGTGTAATCCGCAAAGGTACGTAAATTTATAGTATACATGATAATGTTTAGCATGCTTTTATTAACATATTCATTGTGACTGACTGAAGTCAGCAGAAAAAGAAGTTGTCGAGCCGATTCTTTACCTTCAGAGTCAAAAGAAAACAAAACACGTTTCTCAGTGTCTAGTAAGATCTTGTATAAAAGGCAACGATATATACTTATATATCATTCAAGTTCATTATTAACATGTTTTTTATCCCCTTTTCCATTAGGACTGACTTAGTCATCGACAAAAGTAAATGTCGAGCAGATCGTTAAAATTTATGGTAAAAAAAAATAGGTATTCATCAATGTCAGAAATGAAATCACAACAATTATACCTTATAATTCGAATAATTGTCCATTTTGCAGACAAACAAATTACCCCAGCGACGAAGTAAAATCTTGTTCAAAAGACAAATTATGTACTCTAATATTATTCAAGTTAATACTTAAAACGTTTTTTTTTATTCACTTTTCCATTACGACGCACGTATTCTTCGACAAAAGAAGATAGATCGTTTAAAATTTACGAATTTAAGAAATGAAATTACAACCATTATATTTTTATTATTGTTCGCTTGCAGACAAGACACAGAAATGCATGAGAAAATGTCATAAGAAAGCCAGATGTATAAAAGGAAAATGCGTCTGTAAAGCCAGATATCAAGGCGACGGAGTTAGATCTTGTACAAAAGGCAAAGGTATGTAATATTGTATTATATTCATTAAACTAAAATTTTTCTTATCCCTAATGGCTGAATGAAGTAATTGACAAAATTAGATGTCCAGCAGATTTTTAATCTCCAGTGTCAAATAAAATTTTATCATTGTCAATAATGAAGTATTGACAGATACATTACCCCATAATTGAACTATTGTCTACAAATGTCTACTCTATAGGCATTACATCAATGAATGAAAAAAATGTCATTAAAAATCCAAGTATGTGTAGTGAAAATGTGTCTGTAAATCAGGATACCAAAATTACGAAGTAAACAGGGCAAACGATTGTTCTATAATATAAGTCAATAAAATCTTTATAAAATTGTATGCTTAACAATTTATTGATATTCAGAATACATTTCAAACTGAAGGGTTAAAATGAAAATACCAACCACATTTGTTAGGGGGCGTATGGATTAGGAGTTCTTTGCTAGACACACGCATTGGTTTCTATATCAGTAAAAACATTTTTTTTTCAATACTCCCATACAGAACTCAGATCGTCAAAGTTCTATAACCTAGGTATCCTAAAGTGTCAAAAATAATTGACACCATTCGTACTGTGTCATGTCAGATGCAAATGAAGCCAAACCACAATTTATAGCTGTCCATAAAAAATTAAATTCATACATAGAAGTTAGCATTTTTTTGTTTATTTCTTTCTAGAAATGTTTTATTTCTTGTGATTACACCATCCATTAAAGGTACACTTTCTTTAGATAAAGGGAACTCAAACTGTGTTGCGTTGAATAATTCTTAAATTGCATGTTCTTTAGCTTTTGATTTGTAACTGCATAGGTAGCAATCGTATCACAAAATTTTGTTTTGATTTATCTTATCGTCAACTTTGTAATTCAGTGGTTGTCGTTGGTTTTCTCGTTTGAATTGATTCGCATTTTCTCAAGTCAACCCATTTCTAGCTGAAATTAAGATATGGGCTTGCTCATTTGTTGAAGAACGTACGGTTACTCATAGTTGCTTACATCCACGTCGTTCGGACTCTGATGGATAGTCGTCTCTTTGACAATCTTTCCGCACTTTCTTATTTCAATAAGAGGAGACTTCAATTAGGGGAATTCTACATTTCTTTAATTATGCATCTCTGTGTACCGTTTCAGCATGGACTCTCAATTTTCTTTTCTTTTTTATTATCAAATTTAGTTATAATGTAGACAACATCGTGAAATTCGAAAATAGCCAAGCCCTTGCCAAGGAGAATTAATAGAAAATTACTCCATCGGGACCTTTGCTAGTCATCATTGACCCCATGAACATCCTATTTAAATGTCACAATATCAAATCACATTGCTTTTGTGGTATCATTTAATCGTATAAACTCCCGTTCAGTGGGATACGAGATTTATTTCTTCATTTGTGAAATAAATATCAGGTCAAAAACCATTAGGACAATGTAGTTAATTTAATATCAAATAGTTTTCAGATGCTGAATTTGGTTTCATTATAAAGGTCAAATGTTTTATTTTCATTACAATTATCATTGTTCATTGTTGATATGCAAGATGTCTGTATAATTATATAAAGATAAGAAGATGTGGTATGATCGCATACCGCATAGTCAGCCATAAACGGCCCCGAAATGACAAATGTAAAACAATTCAAACCAGAAAGGTAACGGCCTGATGTTGATTTCACCAGTAACAAAAACTAACTTAACCAGTATTTTGCTTAAGTAATATAAAGAAAAAATACTTCAAGAAACGGAAAATATTTTTCAACTTCAAGTAAATGGAAATGCTATCATTATACATTCGCAAACAAATTGGCAAATGACACTATTTGGAGAAAAATCGATATGTGAAAAATATGGACGGAAGTTCACGAAAGTAATACATAAAAACTATCCAGGCTGTGGAACTTGCTGGTGCTGTTAGAAGCCAAAAGGTACACCATCTTTAAAACAAAAAAGACAGATTTTAAATCACTTCGAATATTTCATCAATATTATTTCGTCTAAGGAAACGTGTGGTATTTTATTAATATCCCTTGGCCTCGGGGCAATTATGTTAATTTATGTTAGGTGATCTGTTATATTACCAGTCAGTTATGTAAGCATCCTACTGAGCACCGGCATCTTTGTTTGGTTGCTTATCTTATTACTATAACGGTATCATATGGTTTTTTTTCTTTTGAATATGCATATGTTAGCGAACACTGAGAGCTATTATTAGTTTGAGTCTATCTCCTGCTACAATGATTTCATATCAATCAACACTATAATTCAAATATATACTATAGAAATCTACTAATACCAGACGAAATAATCTGTGAACCTATTATTTGCGATTGAAAAAAAGAGGCGAAAGATATCAAAGGAACATTCGGAGCTCACATTTCAAAGAGAATCTGACAACACAAAATCAAAATAACGACAAAAAAAAAAAAAAAAAAAAAAAAAACAGAACAGTTTTGAAAAAAGTTAGAATAGGCCATAACTTCGATCCAGACGAGATATACTGACAATACCAGCGCTTAAAACGAAAGACGACAAATAGACAAACAAGTTCACAAAACACTACACAGAAAACTAGAATAAAGTTTGAGCAACGCGAAAATCACCAAAACACAGAGTAGTCACTGGTGCTCCGGAAATGTTAGCAGATCCAACTCGATCAATGACATCCGTTGTGTTACTCCTATAAAATACGTTGATATGTTATGGTGATAAGGGATCACGTAATACCGGACTGGTAATTGACTCTTAACTAAGGTTTTCTTAAGCTTTTAGGCTCGATAGATGCTCATGTCTTGATAGTATCTCCAAAGAATTTGTTTTTGAACTTACAGTATATTCTGATAAAGGTATACCAGTTCTACTTAAGGCTGTGGAAAAAGATGGATATAAAACAAAATTGTGACCTTAGCAACGAATCGAACATTAAACTATCAAACAAGCTAATAGATCATAATATATATCCAAATAAAAAGATGTGGTATTAATATGAACGAGACAAATATCCGCAATAGACCAATTGAGGTAGTTGTAAGCAGCTTTATATTCCTGTACGACCTTGCGCAACAAATGTGTAAAACCCATACCATAAAGTAAGCTATAAAAGGCATCGAAAAGAATAAAAAATACTGCTGTCCAAGAGATAATGTCTTATAAATATCTGAAGGACATTATTTAGTGTTTTTTTTTATACTTTTTGATTTTCAAATTCAAAGGCTGAAAAAATGCCATTGTAATACCTGCTCCTTTGAAATTTGATTTGGGACGCGGACTGTCAAGAAAACTTGTGTAACGTTGTTTATCGATTAATTAAAACGATTATCAAAAAATAAAACGATGGTTTTCTTAAACCATCTTTGACAGCTTACACATTAAAGAAACAGGAAAATTAGCATAGATTATATTGAAAATATTCAATCTATAGTTTTTTTCTATTTATTAAAGAATCAGGATATATTGGTTGTTATCAGGATGACAGAAAAAGAATATTATCCAAAAAAGTACTGAAGGACAAAGGTATGACAGTTCAAAAATGCAAACAGTTTTGTGGACAAAAAGGATTCAAGTTTGCAGGTGTTGAGGTAAGTCAATGAAAATTTAAAAGCTTGTGTTCATGAATAAATAAAATGTATTATATTTTTTTATTCGGCATTATGAACAGAAAGTTGATTCTCAACTTGTTTTTAAAATGTACTTCAATTCGCTTTACACAGATATAGTCCTTTTTTTTATTTGTGAGCTTTTCGGCTCGTTTGGGTGTATCCCACGTCTTTTTAATTCAGTCAACCGTATTATTTCGCAAATCTGGTTATTATTTTTACCAATATGGTCCCAGAGGTATTCAAATATTTGCCTAAGGCGCGTTTCTGTAAAAACTATCCAAAACAAACCGTTGTCTGAGTCATAATGTACATGCCTTTGACTTTTACTTGATTTTTTTTCAAATAATAAGGAGGAAAAATGAAATATAATCTTCATAACATGGACAAATACCTTGCTCTGCCTTTTATTTATTGGCTTATGATACATGATAGGTGATAGATATAATAAAGATGATAATACTTTTATAGTATGGATACGAATGCTTTTGCGGGGATTCTATACGAAAGGGCAGAAAAAGAAAGGAGCGTGACTGTAAAACCCCATGCTCAGGGAATAAACAACAGATATGTGGTGGTACATGGAGGATTTCTATTTACTTAGGTAACAGTTTTTTTGTATACATTTCTCCCGTCTTAACAACTATTAACTATATCATGAAATGACGATCTTTATTTAATTACAACGATGAGATACAAGATTGAAATATTCCGGTTTCATCTTATTTCCAAGCTATTTCAAATTTCAATTCTCATTTGATATAACTATTACTTCATCAGTCGTTTAGAAAAGGGTTCGGAATTTGAAAATAAGTGGCCATTATTCACTGTATTATGATAAAAATATAAGATAGATATATCACATTATGCAACAAAAATAATTTTAAAGTCTGAATGTTTTAGTAAATAAAATGGCGCAGCTAACTTACTATTTACTTTGAATTTACAATTATTTTTATGCAAGGATTTTTTCATTACGATGTTATTTGTATAAACCACATGAGTCTATTTAAAATCTAAAGTGTTAAATCATGAAGTGTAAAACGTGTAGTTCTTTTAATACAATATGCTCTGATATTTTAATAAATACTGTCCAATTTAACAAAAATAAGATATATTATATAAAGACGAAAAAAAATGGAGTAGATCTCAATATCTTATTTCCAAGCTATTTCAAATTTCAATTCTCATTTTATATAACTATTATTTCATCAGTCGTTTAGAAAAGGGTTCGGAATTTGAAAATAAGTGGCCATTATTCACTGTATTATGATAAAAATATAAGATAGATATATCACATTATGCCACAAAAATAATTTTAAAGTCTGAATGTTTTAGTAAAGAAAATGGCGCAGCTAACTTACTATTTACTTTGAATTTACAATTATTTTTATGCAAGGATTTTTTTCATTACGATGTTATTTGTATAAACCACATGAGTCTATTTAAAATCTAAAGTGTTAAATCATGAAGTGTAAAACGTGTAGTTCTTTTAATACAATATGCTCTGATATTTTAATAAATACTGTCCAATTTAACAAAAATAAGATATATTATATAAAGACGAAAACAAATAGAGTAGATCTCAATATCTTAGGGTTAAATTAAACAGAACATGTTTCAATGTTAACAGTTACCGTGATTTTTTTTAGTCAAGACAACAAAGTGCAGGAAAAAATGTCATAAAAAAGCAAAGTGTATAAAAGGGAAATGCGTCTGTAAATCAAGATACCAAGGTGACGGAGTTAGATCTTGTAAAAAAGACAAGCGTACGTATTTTTATTTTGTACAAGTTTATACTTTTATTATCAATGTACGAAACTATCAGCAACGACACCAATATATGTCAAATTAGAATTATTGAATGTTTTTCTGTATACTGTTTTTTTTTATATACTTTATATACAGTAACTATAGAAATGCTCCAAAACTCCGGTAAACGTTATATGTATCACAATAGTAACGAATCAAACATAAAACTATCACAAAAGCTAATTGATCATCATAAATATGCAAATAGGAAAATGCTGTATTATCATCAGTGAGACAAATATCACAAATAGACCAAATGAAGTTTTGTAAGCAGCTATATGCCCCGGAACGGATTTGAGACAACAATGTGCAAAACCAATAACATTAAGTAAGCTATAAAAGTTGAAATTCAAGGCCACAATTTTGCAAAAGTGGTTCTTTCAGCAACTAGATTTAGATTAGACAAGAAACAACTACAAATCGACTAATTTCAACAGTTACAACTAGTATCTCATAATTTAAACAATAGTATATTTTTTGTATACAAGTGCAGGAAAAAATGTCATAAAAAGGCAAAGTGTATAAAAGGGAAATGTGTTTGTAAATCAAAATACCAAGGTGACAGAGTTAGATCTTGTAAAAAAGGCAAACGTATGTATTGTTTTTTTTTTAGTTTTAAATGCCAATGTAGACAAATACCAGCAACAACACCAATATATGACAAATCAGAATCATTATTATTTTTTTTACAATTTTCCAATAAACTTCTATAAAAATGCTCCAAAACCCCGGTAAACGTCATCTGTATCACATTAACATGGAATCGAACATTTAACTATCAAACAAGCTAATAAATCAACAACATAAATATCCAAATAAAAAGATGTGGTATTAATATGAACGAGACAAATATCCGCAATAGACCAATTGAGGTAGTTGTAAGCAGCTTTATATTCCCGTACGACCTTGCGCAATAAATGTGTAAAACCCATACTATAAAGTAAGCTATAAAAGGCATCGAAAAGAATAAAAAATACTGCTGTCCAAGAGATAATGTCTTATAAATATCTGAAGGACATTATTTAGTATTTTTTTTTATACTTTTTGATTTTCAAATTCAAAGGCTGAAAAAATGCCATTGTAATACCTTCTCCTTTGAAATTTGATTTGGGACGCGGACTGTCAAGAAAACTTGTGTAACGTTGTTTATCGATTAATTAAAACGATTATCGAAAAATAAAACGATGGATTTCTTAAACCATCTTTGACAGCTTACACATTAGAGAAACAGGAAAATTAGCATAGATTATCTTGAAAATATTCAATCTATAGTTTTTTTCTATTTATTAAAGAATCAGGATATATTGGTTGTTATCAGGATGACAGAAAAAGAATATTACCCAAAAAAGTACTGAAGGACAAAGGTATGACAGTACAAAAATGCAAACAGTTTTGTGGTAAAAAAGGATTCAAGTTTGCAGGTGTTGAGGTAAGTCAATGAAAATTTAAAAGCTTGTGTTGATGAATAAATAAAATGTATTATATTTTTTCATTCGGCATTATGAACAGAAAGTTGATTCTCAACTTGTTTTTAAAATGTACTTCAATTCGCTTTACACAGATATAGTCCTTTTTTTCATTTGTGAGCTTTTGGGCTCGTTGGGGTGTATCCCACGTCTTTTTAATTCAGTCAACCGTATTATTTCGCAAATCTGGTTATTATTTTTACTAAATTGGTCCCAGAGGTATTACAAATCTTTGCCTAAGGCGCGTTTCTGTAAAAACTATCCAAGACAAACCGTTGTCTGAGTCATAATGTACATGCCTTTGACTTTTACTTGATTTTTTTTCAAATGATAAGGAGGAAAAATGAAATATAATCTTCATAACATGGACAAATACCTTACACTGCCTTTTATTTATTGGCTTATGATACATGATAGGTGATAGATATAATAAAGATGATAATACTTTTATAGTATGGATACGAATGCTTTTGCGGGGATTCTATACGAAAGGGCAGCAAAAGAAAGGAGCGTGACTGTAAAACCCCATGCTCAGGGAATAAACAACAGATATGTGGTGGTACATGGAGGATTTCTATTTACTTAGGTAACAGTTTTTTTGTATATATTTCTCCCGCCTTATCACCTATTAACTATATCATGAAATGACGATCTTTATTTAATTACAACGATGAGATACAAGATTGAAATATTCCGGTTTCATCTTATTTCCAAGCTATTTCAAATTTCAATTCTCATTTGATATAACTATTACTTCATCAGTCGTTTAGAAAAGGGTTCGGAATTTGAAAATAAGTGGCCATTATTCACTGTATTATGATAAAAATATAAGATAGATATATCACATTATGCCACAAAAATAATTTTAAAGTCTGAATGTTTTAGTAATGGAAATGGCGCAGCTAACTTACTAATTACTTTGAATTTACAATTATTTTTATGCAAGGATTTTTTTCATTACGATGTTATTTGTATTAACCACATGAGTCTATTTAAAATCTATAGTGTTAAATCATGAAGTGTAAAACGTGTAGTTCTTTTAATATAATATGCTCTGATATTTTAATTAATACTGTCCAATTCAACAAAAATAAGATATATTATATAAAGACGAAAACAAATAGAGTAGATCTCAATATCTAAGGGTCAAATTAAACAGAACATGACTGTATCAATGTTAACAGTTACCGTGATTTTTTTTAGTCAAGACAACAAAGTGCAGGAAAAAATGTCATAAAAAAGCAAAGTGTATAAAAGGAAAATGCGTCTGTAAATCAAGATACCAAGGTGACGGAGTTAGATCTTGTAAAAAAGACAAGCGTACGTATTTTTATTTTGTACAAGTTTATGCTTTTATTATCAATGTACGAAACTATCAGCAACGACACCAATATATGTCAAATTAGGATTATTGAATGTTTTTCTGTATACTGTTTTTTTTTTTACTTCTACAGTAACTATAGAAATGCTCCAAAACTCCGGTAAACGTTATATGTATCACCATAGTAAGGAATCAAACATTGAACTATCACAAAAGCTAATTGATCAACATAAATATGCACTTAAGAAAATGCTGTATTATCATCAGTGAGACAAATATCACAAATAGACCAAATGAAGTATTGTAAGCAGCTATATGCCCCGGAACGGATTTGAGACAACAATGTGCAAAACCAATAACATTAAGTAAGCTATAAAAGTTGAAATTCAAGGCCACAATTTTGCAAAAGTGGTTCTTTCAGCAACTAGACTTAGATTAGACAAGAAACAACTACAAATCGACTAATTTCAACAGTTACAACTAGTATCTCAGAATTTAAACAATTGTATATTTTTTGTAGACAAGTGCAGGAAAAAATGTCATAAAAAGGCAAAGTGTATAAAAGGGAAATGTGTTTGTAAATCAACATACCAAGGTGACGGAGTTAGATCTTGTAAAAAAGGCAAACGTATGTATTGTTTTTTTTTTTTTAGTTTTAAATGCCAATGTAGACAAATACCAGCAACAACACCAATATATGACAAATCAGAATCATTATTTTTTTTTAACAATTTTCCAATAAACTTCTTCTATAAAAATGCTCCAAAACCCCGGTAAACGTCATCTGTATCACATTAACATGGAATCGAACATTAAACTATCAAACAAGCTAATAGATCAACATAAATATCCAAATAAAAAGATGTGGTATTAATATGAACGAGACAAATATCCGCAATAGACCAATTGAGGTAGTTGTAAGCAGCTTTATATTCCTGTACGACCTTGCGCAACAAATGTGTAAAACCCATACCATAAAGTAAGCTATAAAAGGCATCGAAAAGAATAAAAAATACTGCTGTCCAAGAGATAATGTCTTATAAATATCTGAAGGACATTATTTAGTATTTTTTTATTATACTTTTTGATTTTCAAATTCAATGGCTGAAAAAATGGCATTATAATACCTTCTCCTTTGAAATTTGATTTGGTACGCGGACTGTCAAGAAAACTTGTATAACGTTGTTGATCGATTAATTAAAACGATTATCGAAAAAAAATAAAACAATGGTTTTCTTAAACCATCTTTGACAGCTTACACATTAAAGAAACAGGAAAATTAGCATAGATTATCTTGAAAATATTCAATCTATAGTTTTTTTCTATTTATTAAAGAATCAGGATATATTGGTTGTTATCAGGATGACAGAAAAAGAATATTACCCCAAAAAGTACTGAAGGACAAAGGTATGACAGTTCAAAAATGCAAACAGTTTTGTGGTCAAAAAGGATTCAAGTTTGCAGGTGTTGAGGTAAGTCAATGAAAATTTAAAAGCTTGTGTTCATGAATAAATAAAATGTATTATATTTTTTTTATTCGTCATTATGAACAGAAAGTTGATTCTCAACTTGTTTTTAAAATGTACTTCAAATCGCTTTACACAGATATAGTCCTTTTTTTCATTTGTGAGCTTTTGGGCTCGTTGGGGTGTATCCCACGTCTTTTTAATTCAGTCAACCGTATTATTTCGCAAATCTGGCTATTATTTTTACCAATATGTTCCCAGAGGTATTACAAATCTTTGCCTAAGGCGCGTTTCTGTAAAAACTATCCAAGACAAACCGTTGTCTGAGTCATAATGTACATGCCTTTGACTTTTACTTGATTTTTTTTCAAATGATATGGAGGAGAAATGAAATATAATCTTCATAACATGGACAAATACCTTGCACTGCCTTTTATTTATTGGCTTATGATACATGATAGGTGATAGATATAATAAAGATGATAATACTTTTATAGTATGGATACGAATGCTTTTGCGGGGATTCTATACGAAAGGGCGGAAAAAGAAAGGAGCGTGACTGTAAAACCCCATGCTCAGGGAATAAACAACAGATATGTGGTGGTACATGGAGGATTTCTATTTACTTAGGTAACAGTTTTTTTGTATACATTTCTCCCGCCTTAACCCCTATTAACCATATCATGAAATGACGATCTTTATCTAATTACAACGATGAGATACAAGATTGAAATATTCCGGGTTCATCTTATTTCCAAGCTATTTCAAATTTCAATTCTCATTTGATATAACTATTACTTCATCAGTCGTTTAGAAAAGGGTTCGGAATTTGAAAATAAGAGGCCATTATTCACTGTATTATGATAAAAATATAAGATAGATATATCACATTATGCCACAAAAATCATTTTAAAGTCTGAATGTTTTAGTGAAGGAAATGGCGCAGCTAACTTACTAATTACTTTGAATTTACAATTATTTTTATGCAAGGATTTTTTTCATTACGATGTTATTTGTATTAACCACATGGGTCTATTTAAAATCTATAGTGTTAAATCATGAAGTGTAAAACGTGTAGTTCTTTTAATACAATATGCTCTGATATTGTAATAAATATTGTCCAATTTAATAAAAATAAGATATACTATATAAAGACGAAAACAAATAGAGTAGATCTCAATATCTAAGGGTCAAATTAAACAGAACATGTATCAATGTTAACAGTTACCGTGATTTTTTTTAGTCAAGACAACAAAGTGCAGGAAAAAATGTCATAAAAAAGCAAAGTGTATAAAAGGAAAATGCGTCTGTAAATCAAGATACCAAGGTGACGGAGTTAGATCTTGTAAAAAAGACAAGCGTACGTATTTTTATTTTGTACAAGTTTACGTATTTTTAATTTGTACAAGTTTATGCTTTTATTATCAATGTACGAAACTATCAGCAACGACACCAATATATGTCAAATTAGGATTATTGAATGTTTTTCTGTATACTGTTTTTTTTTATAAACTTCTACAGTAACTATAGAAATGCTCCAAAACTCCGGTAAACGTTATATGTATCACAATAGTAAGGAATCAAAAATTAAACTATCACTAAAGCTAATTGATCAACATAGATATGCAAACAGGAAAATGCTGTATTATCATCAGTGAGACAAATATCACAAATAGACCAAATGAAGTATTGTAAGCAGCTATATGCCCCGGAACGGATTTGAGACAACAATGTGCAAAACCAATAACTTTAAGTAAGCTATAAAGGTTGAAATTCAAGGCCACAATTTTGCAGAAGTGGTTCTTTCAGCAACTAGATTTAGATTAGACAAGAAACAACTACAAATCGACTAATTTCAACAGTTACAACTAGTATCTCATAATTTAAACAATTGTATATTTTTTGTAGACAAGTGCAGGAAAAAATGTCATAAAAAGGCAAAGTGTATGAAAGGGAAATGTGTTTGTAAATCAAAATACCAAGGTGACGGAGTTAGATCTTGTAAAAAAGGCAAACGTATGTATTGTTTTTTTTTGTAGTTTTAAATGCCAATGTAGACAAATACCAGCAACAACACCAATATATGACAAATCAGAATCATTATTTCTTTTTAAACAATTTTCAATAAACTTCTTCTATAAAAATGCTCCAAAACCCCGGTAAACGTCATCTGTATCACATTAACATGGAATCGAACATTAAACTATCAAACAAGCTAATAGATCAACATAAATATCCAAATAAAAAGATGTGGTATTAATATGAACGAGACAAATATCCGCAATAGACCAATTGAGGTAGTTGTAAGCAGCTTTATATTCCCGTACGACCTTGCGCAACAAATGTGTAAAACCCATACCATAAAGTAAGCTATAAAAGGCATCGAAAAGAATAAAAATACTGCTGTCCAAGAGATCATGTCTTATAAATATCTGAAGGACATTATTTAGTATTTTTTTTTATACTTTTTGATTTTCAAATTCAAAGGCTGAAAAAATGCCATTGTAATACCTTCTCCTTTGAAATTTGATTTGGGACGTGGACTGACAAGAAAACTTGTTTAACGTTGTTTATCGATTAATTAAAACGATTATCGAAAAATAAAACGATGGTTTTCTTAAACCATCTTTGACAGCTTATACATTAAGGAAACAGGAAAATTAGCATAGATTATCTTGAAAATATTCAATCTATAGTTTTTTTTCTATTTATTAAAGAATCAGGATATATTGGTTGTTATCAGGATGATAGAAAAAGAATATTACCCAAAAAAGTACTGAAGGACAAAGGTATGACAGTTCAAAAATGCAAACAGTTTTGTGGTCAAAAAGGATTCAAGTTTGCAGGTGTTGAGGTAAGTCAATGAAAATTTAAAAGCTTGTGTTCATGAATAAATAAAATGTATTATATTTTTTTTAAATGTCATTATGAACAGAAAGTTGATTCTCAACTTGTTTTTAAAATGTACTTCAAATTGCTTTACACAGATATAGTCCTTTTTTTCATTTGTGAGCTTTTGGGCTCGTTGGGGTGTGTCCCACGTCTTTTTAATTCAGTCAACCGTATCATTTCGCAAATCTGATTATTATTTTTACCAATATGGTCCCAGAGGTATTACAAATCTTTGCCTAAGGCACGTTTCTGTAAAAACTATCCAAGACAAACCGTTGTCTGAGTCATAATGTACATGCCTTTGACTTTTACTTGATTTTTTTTCAAATGATAAGGAGGAAAAATGAAATATAATCTTCATAACATGGAAAAACATCTTGCACTGCCTTTTATTTATTGGCTTATGATACATGATAGGTGATAGATATAAAAAAGATGATAATACTTTTATAGTATGGATACGAATGCTTTTGCGGGGATTCTATACGAAAGGGCAGAAAAAGAAAGGAGCATGACTGTAAAACCCCATGCTCAGGGAATAAACAACAGATATGTGGTGGTACATGGAGGATTTCTATTTACTTAGGTAACAGTTTTTTTGTATATATTTCTCCCGCCTTATCACCTATTAACTATATCATGAAATGACGATCTTTATTTAATTACAACGATGAGATACAAGATTGAAATATTCCGGTTTCATCTTATTTCCAAGCTATTTCAAATTTCAATTCTCATTTGATATAACTATTACTTCATCAGTCGTTTAGAAAAGGGTTCGGAATTTGAAAATAAGTGGCCATTATTCACTGTGTTATGATAAAAATATAAGATAGATATATCACATTATGCCACAAAAATAATTTTAAAGTCTGAATGTTTTAGTAAAGGAAATGGCGCAGCTAACTTACTAATTACTTTGAATTTACAATTATTTTTATGCAAGGATTTTTTTCATTACGATGTTATTTGTATTAACCACATGGGTCTATTTAAAATCTATAGTGTTAAATCATGAAGTGTAAAACGTGTAGTTCTTTTAATATAATATGCTCTGATATTTTAATAAATACTGTCCAATTTAACAAAAATAAGATATATTATATAAAGACGAAAACAAATAGAGTAGATCTCAATATCTAAGGGTCAAATTAAACAGAACATGTATCAATGTTAACAGTTACCGTGATTTTTTTTAGTCAAGACAACAAAGTGCAGGAAAAAATGTCATAAAAAAGCAAAGTGTATAAAAGGAAAATGCGTCTGTAAATCAAGATACCAAGGTGACGGAGTTAGATCTTGTAAAAAAGGCAAACGTATGTATTTTTTTTTTTTTTTAGTTTTAAATGCCAATGTAGACAAATACCAGCAACAACACCAATATATGACAAATCAGAATCATTATTTTTTTTTTAACAATTTTCCAATAAACTTCTTCTATAAAAATGCTCCAAAACCCCGGGAAACGTCATCTGTATCACATTAACATGGAATCGAACATTAAACTATCAAACAAGCTAATAGATCAAAAATAAATATCCAAATAAAAAGATGTGGTATTGATATGAACGAGACAAATATCCACAATAGACCAATAGAGGTAGTTGTAAGAAGCTTTATATTCCTGTACGACCTTGCGCAACAAATGTGTAAAACCCATACCATAAAGTAAGCTATAAAAGGCATCGAAAAGAATAAAAAATACTGCTGTCCAAGAGATGATGTCTTATAAATATCTGAAGGACATTATTTAGTTTTTTTTTTTTTTATACTTTTTGATTTTCAAATTCAATGGCTCAAAAAATGGCATTATAATACCTTCTCCATTGAAATTTGATTTGGTACGCGGACTGTCAAGAAAACCTGTATAACGTTGTTGATCGATTAATTAAAACGATGATCGAAAAATAAAACGATGGTTTTCTTAAACCATCTTTGACAGCTTACACATTAAACAAACAGGAAAATTAGCATAGATTATCTTGAAAATATTCAATCTATTGTTTTTTTCTATTTATTAAAGAATCAGGATATATTGGTTGTTATCAGGATGACAGAAAAAGAATATTACCCAAAAAAGTACTGAAGGACAAAGGTATGACAGTTCAAAAATGCAAACAGTTTTGTGGTAAAAAAGGATTCAAGTTTGCAGGTGTTGAGGTAAGTCAATGAAAATTTAAAAGCTTGTGTTCATGAATAAATAAAATGTATTATATTTTTTTATTCGTCATTATGAACAGAAAGTTGATTCTCAACTTGTTTTTAAAATGTACTTCAATTCGCTTTACACAGATATAGTCCTTTTTTTCATTTGTAAGCTTTTCGGCTCGTTGGGGTGTATCCCACGTCTTTTTAATTCAGTCAACCGTATTATTTCGCAAATCTGGTTATTATTTTTACCAATATGGTCCCAGAGGTATTACAAATCTTTGCCTAAGGCGCGTTTCTGTAAAAACTATCCAAGACAAACCGATGTCTGAGTCATAATGTACATGCCTTTGACTTTTACTTGATTTTTTTTCAAATGATAAGGAGGAAAAATGAAATATAATCTTCATAACATGGACAAATACCTTGCACTGCCTTTTATTTATTGGCTTATGATACATGATAGGAAATAGATATAAAAAAGATGATAATACTTTTATAGTATGGATACGAATGCTTTTGCGGGGATTCTATACGAAAAGGCAGAAAAAGAAAGGAGCGTGACTGTAAAACCCCATGCTCAGGGAATAAACAACAGATATGTGGTGGTACATGGAGAATTTCTATTTACTTAGGTAACAGTTTTTTGTATACATTTCTCCCGCCTTAACACCTATTAACTATATCATGAAATGACGATCTTTATTTAATTACAACGATGAGATACAAGATTGAAATATTCCGGGTTCATCTTATTACCAAGCTATTTCAAATTTCAATTCTCATTTGATATAACTATTACTTCATCAGTCGTTTTGAAAAGGGTTCGGAATTTGAAAATAAGTGGCCATTATTCACTGTATTATGATAAAAATATAAGATAGATATATCACATTATGCCACAAAAATAATTTTAAAGTCTGAATGTTTTAGTAAAGGAAATGGCGCAGCTAACTTACTAATTACTTTGAATTTACAATTATTTTTATGCAAGGATTTTTTTCATTACGATGTTATTTGTATTAACCACATGAGTCTATTTAAAATCTATAGTGTTAAATCATGAAGTGTAAAACGTGTAGTTCTTTTAATACAATATACTCTGATATTTTAATAAATACTTTCCAATTTAACAAAAATAAGATATATTATATAAAGACGAAAACAAATAGAGTAGATCTAAATATCTAAGGGTCAAATTAAACAGAACATGACTGTATCAATGTTAACAGTTACCGTGATTTTTTTAGTCAAGACAACAAAGTGCAGGAAAAAATGTCATAAAAAAGCAAAGTGTATAAAAGGAAAATGCGTCTGTAAATCAAGATACCAAGGTGACGGAGTTAGATCTTGTAAAAAAGACAAGCGTACGTATTTTTATTTTGTACAAGTTTATGCATTTTTTATCAATGTACGAAACTATCAGCAACGACACCAATATATGTCAAATTAGGATTATTGAATGTTTTTCTGTATACTGTTTTTTTTTATATACTTCTACAGTAACTATAGAAATGCTCCAAAACTCCGGTAAACGTTATATGTATCACAATAGTAAGGAATCAAACATTAAACTATCACAAAAGCTAATTGATCAACATAAATATGCAAATAGGAAAATGCTGTATTATCATCAGTGAGACAAATATCACAAATAGACCAAATGAAGTATTGTAAGCAGCTATATGCACCGGAACGGATTTGAGACAACAATGTGCAAAACCAATAACATTAAGAAAGCTATAAAAGTTGAAATTCAAGTCCACAATTTTGCAAAAGTGGTTTTTTCAGCAACTAGACTTAGATTAGACAAGAAACAACTACAAATCGACTAATTTCAACAGTTACAACTAGTATCTCATAATTTAAACAATAGTATATTTTTTGTATACAAGTGCAGGAAAAAATGTCATAAAAAGGCAAAGTGTATAAAAGGGAAATGTGTTTGTAAATCAAAATACCAAGGTGACGGAGTAAGATCTTGTAAAAAAGGCAAACGTATGTATTGTTTTTTTTTTTTTGAGTTTTAAATGCCAATGTAGACAAATACCAGCAACAACACCAATATATGACAAATCAGAATCATTATTTTTTTTTTAACAATTTTCCAAAAAACTTCTACTATAAAAATGCTCCAAAACCCCGGTAAACGTCATCTGTATCGAATTAACATGGAATCGAACATTAAACTATCAAACAAGCTAATAGATCAACATAAATATCCAAATAAAAAGATGTGGTATTAATATGAACGAGACAAATATCCGCAATAGACCAATTGAGGTAGTTGTAAGCAGCTTTATGTTCCCGTACGACCTTGCGCAACAAATGTGTAAAACCCATACCATAAAGTAAGCTATAAAAGGCATCGAACAGAATAAAAACTACTGCTGTTCAAGAGATAATGTCTTATAAATATCTGAAGGACATTATTTAGTTTTTTTTTTTTTTTTATACTTTTTGAGTTTCAAATTAAAAGGCTGAAAAAATGCCATTGTAATACCTTCTCCTTTGAAATTGATTTGGTACGCGGACTGTCAAGAAAACTTGTATAACGTTGTTTATCGATTAATTAAAACGATTATCGAAAAATAAAACGATGGTTTTCTTAAACCATCTTTGACAGCTGACACATTAAAGAAACAGGAAAATTAACATAGATTATTTTGAAAATATTCAATCTATAGTTTTTTTTCTATTTATTAAAGAATCAGGATATATTGGTTGTTATCAGGATGACAGAAAAAGAATATTACCCAAAAAAGTACTGAAGGACAAAGGTATGACAGTTCAAAAATGCCAACAGTTTTGTGGACAAAAAGGATTCAAGTTTGCAGGTGTTGAAGTAAGTCAATGAAAATTTAGAAGCTTGTGGTCATGAATAAATAAAATGTAATATTTTTTTTTTTTATTCGTCATAACGAAAAGAAAGTTGATTCTAAACTTGTTTTTAAGATGTACTTCAAATCCCTTTACACAGATATAGTCTAGAGGTATAGGGGAAGGTTGAGATCCAAAAAGCGTTGGCTAGAGGTAAAGGGGAGGGTTGAGATCTCAAATAACGTGTTTAACCCCGCCTCATTTTTGCGCCTGTCCCAAGTCAGGAGCCTCTGGCCTTTGTTAGTCTTGTATCATTTTTAATTTTAGTTTCCTGTGTATAATTTTGAGTTTAGTATGACGTCCATTATCACTGAACTAGTATACATATTTGTTTAGGGGCCAGCTGAACGACGCCTTCGGGTGCGGGAGTTTCTCGCTGCATTGAAGACCCATTGGTGGCCTTCGGCTGTTGTCTGCTCTATGGTCGGATTGTTGTCTCTTTGACACATTTCCAATTTACATTCTCAATTTTATCCTTTATTTGTTTATTTTGTGTGCTTTTCGGCTCGTGGATGTGTACCCCACGTCTTTTTATTTCGGTCGACCGTAATGTTTCGCAAACCTGGTTATTATTTTTACAAATATGGTCCCAGATGTATTACTAATCTTTGCCTAAGGCGCGTTTATTTAAAAAAATATCCAAGACAAACCACTGTCTGAGTCGTAATGTACATGCCTTCCACATTTACTTGAGTCTTTTTCAAATGATAAGGAAAAAAAATGAAATATAATCTTCATAACATGGAGAAATACCTTGCACTGTTTTTATTTATTGGCTTATAATACATGATGGGTGATAGATATAACAAAGATGATAATACTTTTATAGTATGGATACGAATGCTTTTGTGGGGATTCTATACGAAAGGGCAGAAAAAGAAAGGAACGTGACTGTAAAACGCCATGCTCAGGGAATAAACAACAGATATGTGGTGGTACATGGAGGATTTCTATTTATACAGGTAATAGGTTGTTTGTATATATTTCCCCTTCCTCTACACCGATTACTTTATAATGAGATAGTGATCTTTATTTAATTGCCAGGTTGAGATACACAAATGAGATATCCACGGTTTAAGGAAAATAATATAAAATTTATCTGTAACACTTTTTTTTCAATCTTTGTATATAGGTGAGTTCCACAAAAAGAGAAAACAGCATCATTGATTTTCTTAATCTTCTCAACATTTGGGTTTTGTAGTATTTAAAGAGATGGCTAAGGGTTGGACGTATAACTGTTTTAGTCACAGATTATGAAATTATTCATACCAAAATCAATATCAGTACCAATATAACGTGATATTGACAACTGATTAACATATGTTTATTCAAAGATATATACGTGCTGATATAAGTGTTGCTCATTCAGTAATGATTTCGTTGATCTACATTTGTTAGAACCAACCAACTCCTTTAAGGTGAGGGTGGAATGCAATGTTTTTTGTAACACATTTAATCAATGTTCATCAAAAACAAACTTTTAAATAAGGTAGGAACAATATTCGTTCTGTTTTAATCAATGTTGTTTTCATTTTATTACTAGGTTTTCAATAGAAGCAATCCATGCTTCCGAAACAAATATGTTAAGTACATTTAACAAACTTTCAGAATGGTTTGATGATTTTGTATTTGTTTTCAAATCTAAATGAATTGTTGAGTTGCCACCTTTCCCCCTCACAAAAGATGAAAGGTCGATATATTATACTGCAAAAATAACAACCTATTATTCTTATAACGCATGTTGTGTCTTTGTTTAAAAAAAGTTGAGGTATATTTGTATGTTGAAAGAATTGTATTGTGTAAAATATTTATGGAAAGTTGTACAAAACATTATCATTGTCAACCTTTTTCGAAAATGGTCAAATTTTGCCTTTTATAATGCAATCTCTAGCTGCTCGTGGATACTTATTTATATATCTCAATGGCAAAGGTGATTGTCCGTTGCTAGGAAGTGAATACACAGAGACGGAACAAACAGGGTTCAATTTTATACTTCTTGGTTATGTTGAGAGTCAATTTATTTCTAGATCTCATCGCTGCATAATGTCATTTGTGCATTAAATGAAGCAAAACAAACAACACTATCTTTCAAGATTTAAACGATAATTTGTATTTATATCGGTCATTATGGAATCTATTAACGATACAATTTCTTTATATTATTGATCTTGTTACAAAACACAACTAACATTGTTTTTATGCCCCCGCCGTAGGCACTAAGGGTTACCCTTGACCGTCCGTCTGTCCAACCCATTTCAGTCTGTTTGAAGATTGAGCAGGGGCATTCATGTCTTCACACACATTGTTCTTCTATTTTCATTTCCATGTCAAGGTATCTGCGTTTTGTTTTATATTTATCAAAATATAATTTCTCTTAAAGAAATACGATTTCCTGTTGTGGTCGTTGATAACAAATCTCCTTCAAAACAAATTTGACACTTTAAGGAGGGTTCGGATGGGGTTTACAGCGTAGAGAATAATGGACAAAATGCGCAGAATAAATAGCAAACTAAAAAAAAAAGAAATACAGAAAAATGGGGTGCTTAAATATCAAGAATAGAGAATAATGGACAAAAGATATAGAAAATACGGAAAAATTACATAAAAAAAGAAAGAAAACAGAAATAAAGGACCCCCATCAAGACACTCATTCAGTTGATACGATATACAGGAGGTTGTGTTTCCTGTCATTCTGTCCTCAATAAAGGGTTGATGTGTATAAAGCGCGGTCTTTAATTTTCTTAGTAGTGGTTTGAAGACTTGAATGTCTTTTGTATTAGAGGGGAGTATACTGTTTTCAGTTTTTTCTTCAAGTAATGCTTTTGACTGTCCCTTTTGCCTTTTTTTTCTACTGACATAAATTATATTTATATCTTAATAATTGAATTGATGGTAGATTGTTTTGTAAAATTAAGGAAGAATTGTTTTAAGGATATGTGATTTCGCTGTAAAATATCAAAGGATCCTTTTTCTATCCATTTAGCTATGCAAATTCTTTTCGCTTCTACATAAGTTTTGCAACGAAAAAGTATTTCTTTATGGCGTCTATTATGAATAATAAAAAAACTCTTTTTACTCCCTACTATCCCTATTTATTTATAAAGTAACTTGTGTATGATATCGCTTAATAAAACTCTTAAACCTATTTATTAATTTACACCTATCCTTTATAATATAGCCTTCAATATTACCAAAGCCTGTTTAAGGACCATAAACTTGAGACTAAACAGTGTCAGAGACCATCCTTAACATCTATTAAATCTTTACAATCCCCTCAGTTCAAATAACGTTGATAATACGAACTAGAAGTGACCGTACGGCCTTCAACAATAAACAACACATATACCGTATAGTAAGCTATTCAAGCATGGCAAAATGCAAAAACAATTAAAACGCCCTGATTTCTTTATGAAAAAATTGACGAAAACAAATGTCAGACAGCAAGTTCAGTAGCCGTCTTCTCGATCTGTAAGTGGTGTTACAGTTTAATTTCTAAATGTTAAGAACAGTTTCGATCTATGGTGGCTTTGAATGGACTAACTAATATTTAATAATAGATGAATAACAATTTGTTCGTTTATGCAGGCAAACCAAATAATTGTAACAAAAAATGTCACAAAAATGGTCAATGCAAAAAAGGACGATGTAGATGTAAAAGAGGATACACAGGCGATGGCGTTAACGTTTGTTCCAGTAAGTACCGTTTACTAAAATGAAAAAAGGCATCATGCTATGTGTATTTTAGCTAAAGATATTATGAATTTGTTCACATCTGAAGATCAATTTCAATATATTGGACTATGGTGTATTTAATGCAGTATGATCTTTAAATTTGTATTGGACTTAAACCAAAGGTTGTAAGATTAAAAAATGATCAGGTTTGATTGCCAATAAAAGACCGACCAGTTAAGTATCATTTCACCTTCGGGTTATGTTTCAATTCTCCGCATTTATTACATTGCGTGGTTGTAATATCTAAATATATGAACCTTGCAATTGCTCGTACTGTTATTTTATGTATTCAAGGGTTGATATATTAACCCCTTGTTGCTACTTTTGTCTTTTCTTCGGAAGTGTTTTTGTCATTTGAGTTATCACACATGGTCGGAAAACATCTAAGCTTTTATGCCATCGTTTAAGCTTGACACACCACCAGCCTATCGACCAAAGTTTGGATTTTATTTGCTTTGTGTCGTTATTCAAGGCAACAATGGTCAGCCTATTTCCAAGTGTCGTTCGATTTAGTCCTGTATCGAACCAAACGTTGTAATGTACGTTTTTTAGTAAATATTTTATAATTCCGGGTTTAGAACAGATCATATGACGGCGGTGAAAATTAAGCAAAATGAAGTGCAGAGTATGAGAAAGAAAGATAAATGTCTTGATTTTGGTGCACGATTTAAATCGTTATCAGAGTATTATTGAAGACTTAAACGAGTTGGAAATACACACCATATATACTTTTATATTATATTATATTATTTGTGGATAATAAATTCTAGTAGAGCATTTGCATATACACGTAGTAAAGGTTAAAAAGACTCGTTTAAATCTAGTTTAGTTATTAAAGTTAAATTGTGTAACGTCATTCTAACAGCTGTATAAATTGTTGTTTCTTTAAAACTTGATATGGTCTGTACATTTTCTACCACCAGAAAGCTGTACATGTTCAGCGACCGGCGATCCACATTACAGATCTTTCGACGGACAATTATTACATTTCATGGGAACATGTAAATATACTTTGTCTCAATATGTTAATCCAATCAGTACATGCAGATTTCATGTTCAAGTCAAGAATGAAAACAGAGGAAACAAACGAGTCTCCTTTACAAGATCTGTTCATGTTGTCGTCAGAAACACAAAGATTGACTTGTTAAAGAATAGATTTGTCAAGGTAAACTCTTATAATTCAATAGTGGTATAATTTGCTTTTTGAAGAAAAGAGCCGACAGATACTTGAGGGATATTCAAACTCATAAATCGAAAATAAACTTACAATGCCATAGCAAAAAACAAAAACGATTAAAAGACAAGACGATCTTGAATCGAGATTTCAGAGAAAAGATAACAAATGAGTAAATACACACTCTCATAAAAAGAGGCGGAAGTTAAGATACAAAGGAAATATTGAAGATAAACTGACAACATTATGACAAAACACAAAAGTCGACAAAAATACAAACAAGTTCACACTATAATCAGTACATACAAATAACATCATAACAATAATTCATGCATTTTAAAAAAAAAACAAAAAACATATTAGCCGAATTTAAACAGTAACAATCTCATTGTATCTGAGACTCTGTGAACTATAAACAAATCCCGAATAACTTCGCTATGATATTCCAGATCAATATGAACCACATGCAATTTGAGATAAAAAGAGGCGAAAGGTAGCAAAAAGGGACAATCAACATTCATGTCGATGGGAAACCAACAAAAGCCATGGCAAAACAAAACAAAAAACAACAAAAAACAACGAATACCCAAACAACAGTCTGCATAAAACTATTAAACTGAACACCGTTATCTCCAATAACCCGGAGTACTCTAATGTGCCCTGAAGAACCAGAATATCATGTTCAACATGAGGTACCCATCGTTTTAAATTGTAAAATAAATGAATGAATCCTTTCAAAGCAATCCTTTACAATCAAGAATAATGCATCATTCTAGAGTAATAAACCTGAACTGACCCGAGCTATAAATATATATTGAAACGATATTGGAAAAATTATAAGTACCCGTAGAGAGCCACCGACCTTCGGTGGGAAAACTGATATTCCTAGTTAAATAAGATTGGAGTCGAGCGCACCTGCCTTTGCGGGATTCGAACTCACAACCTCAGTGTTGACAAGCTGTGATATAGTAATTTGACTACTTAGATCACTACGCCACCGAGGCCCCCCTAGAAGTATCTGAGATACGAACATAATCAAGAAAACCTTTATGAATCATAAACAAAAAGAGGTGGATATATCCAGGGAACATTCAAAACTCACAAGTTGAAGAAAGACAGGCAACGCCATGGAAAAAATGAAAAACGAGACGGAGAAGTCCACTAAACACTGCATAAAAAAACTGAAGATTGTGAAACACGAATCCAACTGTAAAGCAGGGATGAACTCATGTGCTCCGGAAGGGCACAATCGAGAAAAATAAGACAGGATTTTGGTTACGACAATTGGAATATATCCGTGGTCATCTGTTACACAGATATGCAATAAGGTTCACCAAATTGTGATAGCGTCCGTAAAAATGTCGAAAGGGTGACCTCAACTTCACCATTTAGAAGCCTTGGTTCAGCATCTTCCCCATGAGCTGTAACCCTCTATCGAAGAAATCATGGTAGAAAATTCAAGCTTTGGAATATCGGAACATACTCCATATACAGGCGCTGATGGAATAGAAATGGAAAGCTTCTAATTAGAAAGCTGAAATCATCTCTTTTGTATTATTTAAGAATCGTTGATATCAAAAGTGTCATAGAAGTTCGATAAAAAAATATTAAGGAAAATAAGAGAACGATGAAATATGGTGGGACAATGATCAAATAATATGTCTCAAAAAGGCAACAATTATAAGACTATCTTCCTAACATTTAAGTATTATTGCCTTACCAAATTTTTCGGTGAATTGTATACAAATTTCATTTCTTAAACCAAACTCAAACAACTCAGAAACAGTCCACTGACACTAAATGCATATAAATGGAACCCTCTACAAGAACAAAAATAACTCTTTGTAATCTCACTTTTTTCATAATGTTTTATGGTTTACAATGAGTTAAAACAGGGCTGACCTAGAACAAAACTTTATGCAAAGACGTTGTCACTCCTTCAATCATTAATATAGTACTATAATCAAATACAAATATGATTGGTTTTTCACGTTGTCTTGCTCATTTTGCAGGTGGATGGAATTAAAAGATATTTACCATATAAAACTGGATATTTCAGTATCATAACTTCAGGACGTTATGTGAGACTAAAAACTACATGTAACGTCTTAATTACATGGGACGGGAAAAGCGCAGTAACCATATCGGTACCAAGTCATTTCAGCCAGAATTTAATTGGCTTGTGTGGAAATTGTAATGGCATTAAAGATGATTTTAAAACAAAAGATGGTTTGGACGTGCGCAGAAAACCGAACAAGTTTACGCTTATTGGTGAAAGTTACATGATTCAAGAGGGCAATGGCAAAAAGTAAGCATACGAGACGTACAGTTATATACAAAAGAGATTTGGACTCTAGTCAATATCAATACAAGAAAAACATAAAATAATAAATTCAGAACTTAATATATTAAAACGAAACCATAATAAATATCTATACAGACTGATAAGACCGAAAGCGCTCTCAACCAAGATAAAGAATTTGGGGGGAAAAAGATTTATATTTGGCCTTTATGAGTGCCTTGTAGTTGAATAGTTTTTCACAATGATGAAAGAATGAGCGTTATAAAAAATGTTCATGATCTCAAAACATTTTGCTTAATCAAAGGATTGGAAACTGTTTTTTCCTTATTTTTTTTTTCTGCGTTTCTTTTTTTCTTCTGTTCTTTTTGAGCATATTATTTTATCATTGACGTTTATACCATTGCGTATTACATAAATATTTAATCATCAGAATAGATCGTGGAATTTTTTAATTAATTAATAGGATTAAGTGTATCAATATAAAATTTATGATTACTGAACTCTATTTGGCAAACAATTGAGAGGTTTAGCTAGCTATAAAACCAGGTTTAATGCATCGTTTTCTACATAAGGAAATGTCTGTACCAAGACAGTTGTTTTCCATTCGTTTGATGTATTTGAGCTTTTGATTTTTCCATTTGATAATGTTCTTTTCGTTTTGAATTTTCCTTGGAGTTCAGTATTTTTGTTATTTTACATTTTTTTTATTGATATTTTTTTTTTGTCATTAACTTTAAAATCTGTTATTAGTTCGTGTCTCAAGTTGTGTTGCCGTTAAGCAAACAAAAAACATGATAAAAATTATAAATCGTTTGTCGACATGAATTTTCTTTACTCAATTCAGGTGTGGCGTAACATCCCCGCCGGATCCTTGTACTTCAGCACTGAGAAACAAAGCGAGTAGAAACTCCGCCTGTGGGCAGTTGAATCCAGCTAACCCAAGCAGCCCGTTCAAAGACTGCTCACAAGAAAACACGGCATTAGTTCAAGACATATATGACACTTGTGTATATGACTACTGTGCATACAGTGATCAACCAGATATATTAAATACAGTTGTTTGCGAAGCTGCTGAAGGCCTAGAGGAAAGATGTGAAAACATGGGTTTTGATATATCATGGAGAACAAAACGATTTTGTCGTAAGTATGCTGTTTCAAATTTATATCTAGTGTAAACGATAAATCATCCTGTTAGGATTTTCTATTTAAAAATCCCAAAGTTGATAATCTCACTGTCAATGCCAAAAATATGAATAATGAACATACAACAAATTTTGGGAACGATGTTTTAATCGATTATCGGAAGGTGAAATATAACGCAAAAAACACATCGTTGCGAATATGTGAAACTTTTATCTTCTCTTAAATGAAAATAACAACAATTAATGTTTGAAAAAATAAATAGCCTATAACTCTATTTGTAACGTTTTTTTACGTGAAAATAGATTGGTTTTCAATAGTTTACTGTGAAAAAAAATCCTCTACTAATTTAGAAACCTCCTCACTATGAGTTAAACAATATTTCCAATAATCCATGTTTTAAATTACATGTATCTTGTTATTGTTTAAACGACAACGATATAAAATTGCATTTTAATACAGGGAAACTAACTTTTTACTAAGTGTTTGTTGGTTTTAACCTTATTAACATCTCTGAATGCTTATGCATATTCTTTAAAAAATCTATAAAACTTGAGGACTAAATTTGTCGAATTTTCAGGAAAACGCGTGGCTCCGACTGAAAAAGATTTAGTGTATATTACGAAGGTTGGTCTGACATTTTCATATACACTTTCAGAGGCAAATACTTTCCTGTAGGTCAATTACAAATGTATTTTGAAAATTCAAGAATTCGTAAAATGTTCATACTAGGTATGTAGATACCAAGACGTCTCTAATTGTGTATGAAGGTTATGCAGTCTACAAATGTCACTACGCCCCCAGTTCCGTTTGTTTTGATTTAATCTATAAGTATTGACATGGCATGCATTATATCTGAAATTACGACTACATTTATTTATTTTGAATAGCTTTAATATGTGAAGACAACATGAGATACAGTAGTGCAGTAAGCGGATGTCCAGCCACATGTGTTGATCTAGATGCCCCCAAAACATGCAAACTGCCCCCATCAGAAGGATGTCAGTGTAAAAAAGGATTTGTACTCAGTGACAACACATGTATACCAAAAGCTCAGTGTGGTTGTAGGCTACCTACCGGTGAATACTATCCAGTAAGTTATTAAATTTATAAACTCATAAAAGATATCAAGCTTATAATTTGGAACGCAAGACGCGCGATGTACGCCCACCAGACTCATCACTGGCGCTGGAACAGTTGGAAGGCCAAATCAAATACGAAGATAAAGAGCATTCAGAAATCTAAATAGTTTGCCAAATAAGGCTAAAACAATTCATGTCTTAAGGATGTACTTAGGTGAAATAAAAAAAATCTAGAATTTAAAATTGATACTATAAGTCAGAAGAGCATTAGTTAAGGAACAAAATAAGCTTAAAATATTGATAGGTTATGGAGCTCCTTTTCGAGATATTTTTTTAAATGGATGGAAAAGGCTGACTTGGACTGTTACTTACATTTGCATAGGTACTATTTGGGTCTCAAATCAAAAGAAAGGAAATCTAGAATCTGCTTAAATTTTGGTAAATGACCTTTTATGAGCAAGTGAAGTCTTATATGAAAAGAAAAATGGGTGTTATGGGGCAAAATATGTTACCCTGTATCGTAGGAAAAAAACCTAGGAGTCCGAACATTTGATGAAAATTCCTTAACCTGACCTAAGTTCATCCTTAAGTGTATTGAATAATTCAACATTTCAAAATAAGAAATTTAATGAAACATTGTATTCATATTATTTAAATGGAAAGATGTGTTACTCTCATTTCGGTTTTGCAGGCGACCATATAGGCATCCTACTTTTTTTTTTATGGTTGTACACAGTTTAGTTTAGTTTACTGCTCTTAACAACGATTGAATCGATTCAAGAATGATATATTCAAAGAAGCTGAACATTGACTATATTTTTTTCATCTTTAATTGAGATTCGAAACTCATATGAGTGTTTGCTTGATACTTCCATAGTCAGTTGTATAACATGTATAATACAATGTTGTCTTTTTGCAATTAGATTGATTCAGAAATTACATCCAGAGATTGTAGGACGGTGTCCAGATGCATTGCTACAAAATCGGGTAACGCAAAAATGCAAGTCATTAGACGGCAAAAATGTCACAGGAATGCACAATGTAAATTACTCAATGGCGTTTTTGATTGTGCTTGCGAAGAAGGTTTCAAAGGAGACGGAATCAAACAATGCAAAGGTATTGACAACTTTTATTTCTGAATAGACGTATTTAACCTTGTATACAAATGTGTTCTGCATTACTTAAAAGAGTTCCAAGTGGTGTAGTTGAAATCATCCCTTCTTAAATTTTACGGACGCCATCACGAGTTGGTTGACCGTTATGGAATATCCGTTTCATAGATGATCGCGAATATGTTCCAAACTTCGTAACTTCAATCCCGTCCCCTTTTTCTCAAATGTGACCTTCCGAATTAGACTTATTACAGGGTTGTACTAACATAAGCAACACGACGAGTGCAACATGTGGAGCAGGATCTACACCCTTCCGGAGCACCTGGGATCACCCTTAGTTTTTGGTGGGGTTCGTGTTGCTCAGTTTTTAGTTTTCTATGTTGTGTTTTGTGTACTATTGTTTATATAAATAAGAAGATGTGATATGATTGCCAATGAGACAACTATCCATCCAAGTCACAATGTGTAAAAGTAAACAATTATAGGTCAAAGTACGGCCTTCAACACGGATCCTTGACTCACACCGAACAGCAAGCTATAAAGGGCCCTAAAATGACTAGTGTAAAACACTTCAAACAGGAAAACCAACGGTCTAATCTAATTTTAATAAATAAAAAACGAGAAACTTTCTCTGTTTTACTTTTTTAGCCCTTGCGTTGTCAGTTTATTTTCGACTTATGAGTTTGAATATATCTTTGATATTTTTTGCCTCTCTTTTAAAAACCACATTAGTTCCCGCATTATATTACATCACAATTCAAAACATTTGACGTCATAATTTAGATTTGATTGTTGCATGAAGTCAAAAGGTTATTCGGTGACAAAATACCAAAAGTGTAAATATGTTAATTGTTGTGTGTTTCTACCTTCCTATTGTTTAGGATTAAAGAGAATGTGAAGTTAAGGTTAAAATATGGATATGCTAAAAAAAAAGTAAATAAATTAAACCTCGCAATATACATTTTGATCTAAACGAAATCTTTTGATGCAAAGCAAAATTGGGTTCATCTTTGTTTTTTCTAATTTTAAAAAGCTGCAAACTGCAACTATTTTCCTTTCAGATCATATTTTTTTTTCGGTTTTTCATGTTTTTTTTTTTTTTAGACTGAGATATTTTACTCCCAGCATATATTGAATCTGCTAAACTTGTATCACATTTATATCGTAACGTGATTATTGGCTGAAAATTTTGTCTTTGAACTATTTCTTACTAGAAAAAAAGAATAACAAAAATACTGAACTCCAAGGTAAATTCAAAAAGGGGAAGTTCAAATCGAACGTCATCAACTAACAGAATTAGTAAAAAAAAACAACTCTCGTAATCCTGACTTGTACAGACATATTCCAAAGACAATAGTGCGTTTAATCTAGTTTTATAGCTCGTTTAGACCAAACAGACGCAACGCCAATAGCTAAAGTTTTATTTCTTCTAAATCATGTAAATCATTTGCTAAAAATACAAATAAAGACACCAAACTCTTGTGATTTATACTTTGTATATTGAAATAATAGAAAAATCTGTATTCATAGGGAGGCCAGCACCTGGAACAGAAAAAGTGATATGCGAGGGTTCAAAAAGTAGAATTACATGTCCAGGGAAGAAAACAATACGAATTATAGAAGCAACATATGGGAGAACTGACATGAGCACATGCAAAGACCCAAGAGTGAAAACGACATCATGTTCCTCTAACAAACCATTACCTATAATAAGAAAAAACTGCGAAGGAATAAAATCATGCATGGTATCAGCAAATAACGGTTTGTACGGCGATCCTTGTGGAGGAACCTACAAATACGTTACTGTTCGATACGTCTGCGAAGGTATTTCTTAAACTGAATGCACATAGTCACAATTATTTGGTAATGTACTTCACATGTTTTGATATGCATATCTATTTCAGTTTGTTTTCAAACAAAAAACGGCGGAAGATACCAGTGTGACATTCACAACTCGAAGATAAACTGTCAATGGCATGAGGAAAAAATCCGAAAAAACAGACAGCCCAACGCAAACACCAGCAATATTGTCATATTTTTTTAATAAACTTTAGGCAAAATTTCAAAACTTAATTTTAGTTTAAAAACAAAGTTAATCTAAGCATTGGTAGTGGATGTAAAATCAGTACACTGGAATCGGTTACTGATTATTTTTTTTAATTATAATGACTTTTAAACAATCATCTATGAAAATGAGAAGTGATTAGTAATAATGAAAAACACACTTAATTCTCAAAACACACATTTCATTAAAAGAGGGTAAAATAGTACATGCACATCTTTGAGTCCATATTTCACATGTTTAACTGTAATTATGTGTTGAACGTTAATACAGTGTAAGCGTTATGTAATTGATAAACAAAACATTTAACTGTATTAATATTACTTAATTTTTAGAATAGTTAAATGGAGTATCATTAACGTAATAAATGTGTATAGCTACTGGTAGGAACTTATGTTTTCTATAGAAACAGGACCCAAGTGTGGATCAACGGTTTGTCATCCAGATGCAAAATGTCACAGAGGTCGATGTGTATGCAAAAAGGGGTTTGTCGGGGATGGTATCAATAGCTGCACAGGTATAATGTTTGTTGTTTGAGTGCTTCATTTTTTTATATATCGTTAAAAGCTAAAAAATCTATAAACTACATATAAATACAACATTTTTTTATTATAACAAAGATAGAAATAAAAGATGAAGGATATAAATCAATCTTTCGAGATATTGAAGTTACAGTTATACTGACCACCTTTCCTTAAAGTTGTATCAAATATATTTTTATTGACCCAGTTCTTACACAGGCTTAAAGCGTATGAAGAAAAACTACAAATAGAGGAACATTTATATTTTCAAAATTCGTTCAAATGCATACATTACTTTACCGTAAATACAATTTGCAAATAAGTTGGTGCTCAGGCTCTGACAGGATTTTAATTACACAGTGCTATTACGAATGGTTTGATTGTGAGTTATGTAACTGGACCTAAATTAAGGTATAACTTCCGCAGATAACATGTCCTTTTATCCTAATATCTTAATGAATTTATACATGCTTTGCATCCCAAACAAAAGACCAAAAACATACAGATACACCATACAATAATTTATTGTTTGTGTTTATGGTATCAAAGGTAATGCAATGACAGAAGATTTGTTTTAACTTATTTTATTTGACTGCAGGGACCTGTACCTGTGTTGCTAGTGGAGATCCACATTATAAGAGTTTTGATGGCCAAGTCATTCACTTTATGGGAATATGTACTTATACCATGGTCAAATCAACATCCATTGATAAATGTGGTGGTTTTGAAGTTCAAGTGCAAAATGAACACCGTGGATCAAACACAAAAGTCTCCTTTACGCAATATGTTTTGGTCAAGTTAGCAGATGCTACAATTCGGCTAGATAAAAATAACGTCGTTTTTGTAAGTAACTGATTGTATGTAAATAAAAACAAAAATTGACGAAACAAGATCAAATAATTTATATCAGTCACCTCCTATTTTTTCGATCATGCAAATGTTAAGTTTTGTTTTTCGGGTACATATCTTATTGCCAAAGCATAATAGCTCTATTAAAGGAAAATTGTACTATAACTAGAATAAACTTATCCGTTAAATATTGTGTTTAATTTTGAAAACAAAACGGTCGAGCGATAATTGTGTGACGCATAAAAAGACATGTACAATACCAAATATTCGGTCAAATTAGAAAATACACAGTGCTTTACATCATATACTAATATAACAATCAGTAGAAGTGATATGATTGCCAATAAGACACACATCTAACAGGGATCAAATGACGTAGCCGAAAAATTCAGTAATCAATATTTTGAAGTGATAGAATAATAACTTATTAAAACAACTTTTAGAACCATTATCGTTCTGATACATATATATTTATTTTAAAAATACAACTTTCAAGTAAAGAATAAAAAATCTACAGATTTTTTTTGTTATGCTGTGACTATGTTTGCAATACTTGAATTTAAAAACGTTTTCAATTTATGAAAAATACAGGAAATCAGTTAATGGTCAATGTTTTAGTCGCAGTACCAGTAACAATTAAAACATGTTTTGTTCCATATGCTGTTATGGTGTTATTTTCATGACTGCAAATATATCTTGTGTTAATCTTTCGCTAACCATATGTTTATGATGTTATAATGTTTCTACCTATCATTTTTAGGTAAATGACGTTCAAGTTTATACTCCATATTCTGGTACAAACTTTGAAATAAGGACTTCTGGTAGATATGTACGGCTGCAAACAAAATGTAACATATTGATAACATGGAATGGTGTCGGTACTGTGGCAGTCTCCATTCCAAAGACATATTCGGGAATTGTAACTGGTCTTTGTGGTGATTGCAACGGAAAGAAAGATGATTTCAGAACAGCAACTGGTGAGGATGTTAGTCTGAAGAAAGATAAATTCGAACTTATTGGAAAAAGCTACACAGTTCCAGGAATCTATGAAATACAGGATAACAAGTAAGTAAATGCAAAATTAACAATTTCATTTTTGCAAAGTTCCCCGTACTGGTGTAAAGGTGAAAAGTAAATGCAACGTATGCATTTTTGTAAAAGCACTCTTTAAGTTATAATGTTATGAGCCTACTATTGAGGTAAAACTTTAAAAATTACACTTCTTTACTACAATTGATATGAAGAAAAGAAAGCAAAAAACCAAAGGAGGCATTTAAAACTCAGTTAGATTTAAACCGACAATGCCATGGTTAAAATAGAAATGAAGAAGGGACAAACAACATAAAAAAACATTACATGGAAGACAAAAGACATACTGTCCAGGCTAAAGTTAACTTCTATAAATACTATATAGACAAGCAGCCATGTGGTTCTAGTAAAAATTATTTAAATTTGCAGTTGCCAACAAATAATTCAAACAGCTTATACGTCCTTTTATTACCTATTATTTGATTTAATTGGATATAATCTGTAATAAATACTCTCATTGAATAGGAAGTAAACAACAGAATATTGATTATCTTTTCCTTGCTAGTCATTGACAGCGACATAAACAAAGGTAGTTTTGATTTCATGGTTCACTAAGCAAACAAGATAACTTACCTACATGTTTTAAACGTTCGAATAGATAAGCTGTCGTTGCTCGATTATAAAAAGTATAATGTGTTATATTATCATTAGCTAGACGTATCTGTTGAATAAAAAGAAATTTTTAGATAAAGAGAGCATTGGGGGATCTTTCTCTTCTTTGTCATGTTTGTGGCGATTTGTTATTTCTGAAGATATCCTTTTTTTGTTTTTAATTTTTTTTTGTTTTTCTATTACATTTACACAAAATGAGAGTTAATAGTTTTTAGGATTAAACTAATAAATAATCGAATGATATTGCAGGTGTGTTGTTGGTCCTGTAATGGAAGAACCATGTTCTCCCGAACAGTCTGGAAAAGCCGCTGACGACAAATACTGTGGTTTATTGAATCCTAAAAATGTAAAAAGTCCATTCATGTCTTGTGCGAACAAAGATATGGATATGGCCAAGGATTTATATGAGTCCTGTTTATATGATTACTGTAGTATAGAAGGGTCGCCTTATCTGGAACAATTTATTTGTGAATTTTTGGAGGGATTCGAAGAACAATGCGAAGACATGGGATTATCAATAACTTGGCGGAAAAAAGATTTGTGTCGTATGTATCATATTCACAAATATTTTAATACTATTTTCGTTCCTTCATCGCTGTCGACAGATTACAAAATATTTTCGAGAGACGACATGAGGAAATCAGTTTTAATGACTTTACAAACGTATATAAAAGTGTATTTTCTTCATCAAAATACCGAAACCCAAAAAGATGTTGCATTGTATACACCTTTCCGGAAGACCTGTCAGTTTATGCTTAGTGTATTTGGGTACACATTGACCAAAATACATATAATCTGTTGTATTAATGAATAGTATTCAAGTTGTTTTAAGGCAACGATTATTTATCAATTGAGGAGGGATTAATAGTGTTTCTTAAAGTAAATTGTTTTAATCTCATTTTTTTCTACCCAATATGTTTTCAGAAGGAAAGTGAACAATTATTGAAAATAGTTACTTATTTAAACGCCGATATACACTGTAATCAAGTGTGCCAAGCTGTGTGCAAAATTCTAATGCTAATATAGTTTTTCGATTCTGTGGACCTGAATCGAGATGGAAATATAACATTTCAGTCAAAAAAAATAAAAAAAGTCATTTTCCTTTTTTAGGACTCACATGCCCAGTGAACATGGACTATACTTCTTCTGGGAGTGGATGTCCAGCAACTTGTGTTGACCCAGATGCTCCACTAACATGCAGATTACCAAATACTGAAGGCTGTCAATGTAAAAAAGGATTTCTCCTGAGTGGAAATAAATGTGTGCCCAAAGAACAATGTGGATGCCGTGGACCAGAAGGAGAATACTATCCCGTATGTAAACATATATATAAATGTGTATTACGATTAATTCTTGATAAAGAAAAACAATATCAAAGATATCTGGCTTATCATTCAATATGCTAGACGTGTTTTTCTCAACAACAGACTCATAAGGAATCTACCATTTGATTTTTAAGGGGGGGGCTAGGATGAAAAATTTTGTCCTGCATTTTTTTTTAGTTTAAATCTCTGTCCTGCCTTTTTTTTTTTCACTCTATTCGGTCCTGCATTTTTTTTATTAGTTTATCCTTTCTTGTTTTACATGAATTGTCATCCTGCCTTTTTTTTTGCCAAGTTGCTCATCCTGCCTTTTTTTTACTCAAAACTCCTGTCCTGCCTATTTTTTTCAAATTTCATCCTAGCCCCCCATAAATATCAAATGGTAGCTCCCTAAATGGCCCTGGTATCAAAACGTGTGTAAGATAAAAATCAATTACGATGAAGAGCACTAGAAAGCAAAATTTTTAAAATGTAACGCCACATTTTTCTTAGCCGATTTATACTTTGTGGTGTAAACATCGTAGTGCTTTCAAATGATTTGAGGATTTTATGACTGGTGAGTTATTAGAAGTGATCACATCAACGAGATGCCTTTTTAGGCTCCCAATTAATAGCAGTATGTCTGCCTTTCCCTTTGTGAATTTATGAAGAGGAAATTGACATGGTAAATAAAACGGAAACAGTGCAAAGTTACATTTAAGTATAGCAATTGAAAATGTTGCTCCCTTTTTTAACATGCTGGAACTAACACTGTTTACTTTTGTTGAATCAATTCATGTTAACGCTTAAGGCACGTTTAATTCTCGTTTAGAAGGAATATCAAGATTTATGTGAAGTCCTGAAATAATCAAAATACAGAATAAAATCTCTACTGTTCTAATGCATTAATATTACAAAGCATATATTTTTTAATGCTTCTCACAAGTTGCTTAAATAAAGGCAACAGTAGTATATCGCTGTTCGAAATTCATAAATCGATTGAGAAAAAAACAAATCCGGGTTACAAAATAAAACTGAGGGAAACACATCAAATATAAGAGGAGAACTACGACACAACAGAAACACAACATTAAAATGTAACACACACAGAAACGAACTGTAATATAACAATGGCCATTTAGTAAAATTTAGTATCACAGAAGTTTAACAGAAGTTTTCGATTTTCATGTAATGTAATACGTCAAAGCTTCTCAAAATGGATATTTCACTATCAGTTATATACTTTAGATAAAACTGCTCCCGACAAAGTAGCAATGTATGTATGAGGAATAATTTCGCATCACTAATTGCTTGATTGTTAAAAAAGCCAACAGCAGTACACCGCTGTTCAATAGTCATAAATCGATTAAGCGAAAACAAATCCGGGTCACAAACCAAAACCGAGGGAAACACATCAACTATAAGAGGAAAACAACGGAACAACTGAAACACTGAACTGCAACAAAAACAAACGTCAACATACATAGAAACGGACATTTTGATAACAACTGCCATATTCCTGATATGGAACAGGACATTTTAAGAAAAAATGATGGATTGAACTTGGTATATATCTGTCTTGCAATTTTACAATATGGTTACATTTCACACTGGGGACTATTAAACATTATTACGAATGTACGCAAATGGGTTTTCACTGCATGTTCTTAACCTCATTCTTGAATTTGACTTTCACCTATTTTGATTCGAGTTTCGGTGAAAAGTCTTGTGTAGAAAAAGGCGCTTGTGGCATATTTAATCAAAAGCTGGGATTCTTTGATAGTTTTCACATGTGTCTGAGGTATAATAAAATCATGTAACAGGTTATGCATACATAGCAAAAACTGCATTCCCTGGTCTCCAGTTTATAAGTGCATAAAATTTCGATTTTTTCCACAACAATATCTTCTGTTTATATCTTGCCAGGCAATTATAATATAACTGCGATGATATTTTACGTCTTTCACCTGATTAAATTAAACATATTATTTTAACCCCGCCAGATTCTGTATGTGCCTGTCCCAAGTCAGGAACTTGTAATTCAGTGGGTGTCGTTTGTGGCTGTATATTATATTTGTTTTTCGTTCATTATTTTGTACATAAATCAGGCCGTTAGTTTTCTTGTTTGAATTTACATTTGTCATTTCGGGGCCTTTTATAGCTGACTATGCGGTATAGGCTTTACCCGTTGTTGCAGGCCGTACGGTGACCTATATTTGTTAATTTGTGTGTCATTTGGTCTCTTGTGGTGAGTTGTCTCATTGGCAATCATACCACATTTTCTTATTTTTATATGACATGAAGATTGATTACTGCCTCACTTTGTTAACAAAATCAAAATTGTTTAGGACAGGGCCATATCTTGCAAACTCTTAAACTAGCAACACTATTAAGAATTAGAACTTTATATTTTTAAAGTCTGTTTCTCAAAAGTTAATTTTATAGGGAGGGACTTATATTTACGATAACATCTGACTAATAAACTTATAAATCATAATCAATATTTTAAAAATCAAACAGAACCTGACATCAAGCAAAGAAGATGTGGAGTTCACCTTAATAAACAAGCAAAACCAACATCCGAAAAAAATCTACAAATGAGCATACTGTATTCTGTACTAGTTATCAAGTAATGACTGAAAACAAACACCCGCATACTTAAGTTCAGAGAAAATGTTAACTTTAGCAAAGTACAATTTTGTTTCGATCAAACTGACTTGTAGTTTTTGGTACTAACAGAAAAGAAGCTGATAATCTTCCCATTCAATCAGATTTTCTTGTTGTCAACTTTCTTAAATTATCATTTTCCTTAGCTTGGAAAACAATTTACTTCATCAGACTGCACAATTGTAACCAAGTGTTCCAGTGAAAACGGGAAACCGACTATGACAGTTGTTAAAAATCAAATTTGTCATAAAAATGCTAAATGTCGTCTTAGAAGAGGCCAATATAGATGTATCTGTAGAAAGAAGTTCAATGGAAATGGTGTTGATGTATGCACACGTAAGTAAATTAACTGTTTTATATAGTGATTTTTTCCTGCACTTCTAAAAGATGAGTATGAGCGTTCCTGATGAGGATCAATCATGAAACGCGCTTTGGACGCAGAAAATGCATCAAAAATTAATTTCTTTTACCGGTATGTCACATTACTTTACATTGAAAACATTTTTAAGGTAGCTTTTTTTTAAGTCTATCGTAATACACATTCGATATACATGAGACTTATTGAACTTGATCAATGTTAGATAAAGTAAAGTAAACACAACAAAAATAAAACAATCTGCTTATTATGATTACACACAAAACAAAACTTTGTTAGATATACCATAGTACTTACAATTCCAATAAAATTCACTTATAATTATTATCAAATCAAATGTTTCATTAACACTTTTAGAAAGTAGATGTTCGTTATTATTCTGCGGTTAACATGTTGTAACGACTATTATATTATTTATTTGTGCGTTTCTCTGTGCTGAGTGTTCTTGCGTTTGTTTGTGCTGTATTTCTGTCACGTAGTGTTGTCATTTTAGCGATTTTTTTTATGCCCCACCTAGGGGCATTATGTTTATTAGTCTGTACCTCCGTCCATTCGTCCGTCCGCCTGTCCGTTCGTCTGTCCGTTCGTTCGTCTGTTCTGCTTCAGGTTAAAGCTTTTTGTCAAGGTAGTTTTTGATGAAATTGAAGTTCAAATAACTTGAAACTTAATACATATGTTACCTATGATATGATCTTTCTAATTTTAATCCTAATTTCATGGTCCACTGAACATAGAAAATGATAGTGCGATTGGGCATCTGTGTACTATTGACACATTCTTGTTAACATTGCCATATAAGCGGGAGGTTTGGTTAGCCATAAAACCAGGTTCAACCCACCATTTGTTCTTAAAATGTCCTGTACCAAGTCAGGAATATGGTAGTTGTTATCAAATAGTTCGTTTCTATGTATGTTGGCGTTTGTTTTTGTTGCACTTCAGTGTTTCTGTTGTTCCATTGTTTTCCTCTTATAGCTGATGTGTTTCCCTCGGTTTTGGTTTGTAACCCGGATTTGTTTTCTCTCAATCGATTTATGACTTTTGAACAGCTGTTTACTACTGTTGTCTTTATTTAAAACTATTTCGCCTATGTAATAAGTAATCCTCGGGAACTCGTGAAATCAGGAGTAGTGGTTTACCGATGATTAAATCTCGTAAATTGAATAAAATGGGAAAAACCAAGATAAGAAACAAAACTGGGAATTTGTATGAACGCCAAAAGGATTGAGACCGGTTGATCGACAGAGAAATTACAGGGAATTACCAAATTGGAGCTGTAGTATCATTATAATAGAATAATTGTTAAATAAATTATTAATCAGAAATGTATGTGTCATAAGCATTAGTAAAGTTGTTTCTACAGAATAAGTACAAGAGATTATTAGTAACATGGATTTTCCAAAACAATCAACCAAGTCGTGATAGCTTCTATAACACTTTTACTTCAAATTTATAATAAATGTGTCTTGACTTAGTTGCATCATTGTTTTTTTAAGTTAATTTTTTTATAGCATTAGTAATAGCTGGTATATCAGAAAAGTAGCTCAAACATTTATACATAAATCTTGAATAAAAATGCAGTTTCTTAGATATCTTATCAGCTGTGTGCTGTACACCCCATAATAATGTGTTGTGGGAATGTTACTACATAAATATGGAAATTTTAAAGAGTATATGTTGGAAAGTTAAAATAATGTGAATGAAGAACTTCATTTGTCTAGCTGATTAATATGCATTTAAAACATGTTTGCAAGTTTATCCATCCACTTTTAGGTTTTTACTTTCTATCACTTTTTTTCTGGTTTTCTGGTTTTTCTTGTTTTCCTCATAAAACTCTGTTTAAGTTTTCAAATACCGTTTTTTTTGTCAGTATGCTTTTGACATATTTCTTCCCTTACCAAATTGCAAAACAAAAAATGTTGTGATTAATAAACACTTGCATTCCTATTTTGTTTGTAGCTAAATGTAAACGAAAGTGTAAAATCAATGAAAAGTGTGTCAAAGGAAACTGCAGATGCGAGAAAGGTTTAGTCAGGACAAAACTGGGAACATGCAAAAGTAAGTGTCTTAACCTTTACTTTTTTTATTCAGCATGTATGCAAAAAAGTTGTTACTTGAGTTCCGCTAGTACACAATTCAAACCAACTGTAGGTTAACGATGTTTAAATCTCATGAATCAAATTTAAAGAAAAATAAGGGTAACAAAATGTGAGAATGGATTATTTTGTAGTCTTCTCGGAACATTCAGACCAAAAGATATATCTAAATTTCGTTATTGAAAAATGCATTAAAAGGATGTTTATGTTAAATCGTATTTTGAAGATCAGTTGAACAGGATCAATCCCAATGGGAACCAATTGTGCCCCTATTCTTGCCGACTTGTTTCATTATTATTATGAGGCTGACTTCATACAGGAAGAAAGATAAGAAGTTAGCAATATCCTTTAACTTGACATTCCGCTATATAGATGATATTATCTCACTAAATAATACAACATTTGGTGACTATGTTGAACGAATCTATCCCATCGAACTAGAGATAAAGGATACTACAGATACAGTTAAGTCTGCCTCATATCTTGACTTACATCTCGAAATTGACAATGAGGGTAGATTGAAACCAAAACATTACGACAAAAGAGACGATTTCAGCTTCCCAATTGTGAACTTTCCATTTCTATGTAGCAACATTCCAGCAGCGCCTGCATACGGAGTATATATCTCCCAATGGATACGATATTCCCGGCTTGTATTTCCTATCATGATTTGCTGCTCACAAGGAAGCTATTAAACCAAGAGTTCCAAATGGTGAAGTTGAAATCATCCCTTCGTAAATGTTATGGACGCCATCACGAGTTGGTTGACCGTTATATAATAACCGTTTCACAGATGATATCGGATATGTTCCTTATGTCTTAACTACAGTACCCTTCCCTTTTCACGAATGTGACCTACCGAATTAGACTATTTACCGGATTTGTAATAACATAAGCAACACGACGGGTGCCACATGTGGAGGATGATCTGCTTACCCTTCCGGAGCACCTGAGATCACCCCCAGTTTTTGGTGGGGTTCGTGTTGCTTAGTCTTTAGTTTCCTATGTTTTGTCAACTGTACTATTATTTGTCTGTTTGTCTTTTTATTTTTGGCCATGGCGTTGTCAGTTTGTTTTTGATCTATGAGTTTGACTGTCCCTCTGGTATCTTTCGTCCCTCTTTTTTCAGCATGTGTATAATTCTTTTAACTATTTGTAAGTGTTTCTTTGAACACAGCATAATGAACTATGATCAGATTCAATAAATAGTCAACACCCGTTGTCTTTGTAGAATTTTCCTTTTTTTTCTTATATTTTTCTTATTATTTCTATTCGAACGTGGACAGGAATTGGTTCTTACATATTTTAGATCTGAAAACATCACATTAGTAGTTTTGAATATGATATGTAGATTTATCTTTTGGTGTGACTGTTATCCAGTAAACGATACGGATCTTTGCAGATATGACTGTCATATAGTGACATGAATCTGCACACATTTCCTTCTAAAATGTTCTCTTATTGGCAATTAAGCTTCATCTGTTATGCTTCATCTGATTATATATATATATTATTTCTCTGCATTAACATCTTACATAAACAACATACATACGTATTCGTTATGATACATCAAAATAGAAGGACGTTTTCACCACGGGAATCATTTAGAAACAAATAAACTTATTGTAGGAAAAAAACAATGTTTATAACTTTTCTTTTTTTGTTTTTGCGTTTGCAGGAAGTGTACGTTCAAAATGTAAAATATAATCCATATCATTTTTTTTTCTGAAATATAAAACACGATTGATATTGTCAGTACAAAGTCGAAAAAGTTAATCAAGTTTCTAACAACTGTTTTGATAACATACATTTCCTCCATTGAGGTGTTGCCATATTCTTTATTTTTTTTTAATATTATCGATTTCTTTTTCAGAAAAGATACCTTGTAAGCCAAAGTGTAAGAATGGATTTGTATGTAGCCTGCTCGGAAAATGCAGACCAAAAGGTATTTATTTATATTGCATGATTGAATATTACTGAAAGTGACATACATAAAAGATGGGTTCGGTCAAGTTGTTGAAAAGAAATCAGGATAGGTTGAACAGAGTCATGTTAAAAAAAGGCATTTTTCTTTTAACTGTTTTGCATTTAATGAATATTTAGAGATAAGCATTATGACCTGCAACCACTTAAGTTTACAATACCATATTTACAAAAAAGGCAAACGTTTCATGATTGCCTATTAGACAACTATCCATAGACAAAAAAAAATTATATGTATGTAAAGCAGTTTTTGTACTTTTTGTGTTTTTCCTTAATAAGTGGAGAGTGATATTCTTTATTTAGAATTTATTAGAATTATCATTCGCTCTACGTATGAAAGTAAGATTTGATTTTTGTACTTAAGTTAACAGATCTATATTGTCATATGGTGACGTATGAATGTTTACATCTTATTTGCAATTATGCATACTGCATCTCGTGTTCATTAAATAATTCCTCATTGGAAAATGCAGACCAAAAGGTATATTTACATTTCGTTACTAAAAGTGACATTGAGAAGGATGATTTCATTTAAACCGTGGTAAAGTAATTACGATAAGTTGCACATAGTTATGTTCAAGAAATATTTTGTTTTAAATGTTAGCATTTGGGGTTTGTTTTATTAAACATAGAGCACAATGAAAACTACAACTACATACATCAACAACACTATAGATAAAGGAAATAAGGCATAGTGGTGTTTGTTCAATGAGAATCATTCACAGACCAAAAGACAACATTTTATTATGAATTTACGTACGTTTTGTTTTCTATTTGAGGGATGATGGCATTAATGTATATAATTTGAATAGATTAAACTTCCTTTTGGTTTTTAAATGTTACATTCATAATTTTCTGTTTGTACGCTAGTTTACGTTTTCATCTTTGTACATTGTGAGTTATTGTTTAACTGTTTCTTTCAAAATGTTGTATTATTTATAGATACTACATATTGCTTTCACTATACACTTTATGAAAACAGCAGACATGTGTATTTGACATGATAAATCAAATATATAATGACATTTCATCTACAGGCTGATATTCAGGTAAAATGCAACGTTTTGTAGGATGATAAACGGTTGATGGTATATTTTTTTATAATGATTGTATTTGCAGGATGTAAACGAAAGTGTAGAATCAATGAAAGGTGTGTTAAAGGAAAATGCCGATGCAAGCGAGGTACCTTCAGGACAAAACTAGGAACATGTAAGAGTAAGTGTCTCAACCTCAAATTGATTGTCAACAGCTATGTCACCTTCTTTTTTTTTAATTGTATGATGTGTATTTCCTAAATGCGTCATATTTAATGATATCATTTGACCTGTAACAATATAACGACATGCTATCAAAACTTCATTTCAAATATTATAAAATTCTTTCAAGTATCTTATTAATGCAGTTTACTCTGTTTAGTTGTTGATATGTTTTTGAATATTTTAAAACTAAATTGATATATTTTCAGGAAAGATACCGTGTACACGAAAATGTAAGAGTGGATTCGTTTGTAGCTTCCTTGGAAAATGCAGACCAAAAGGTATATTTACATTTCGTTACTAAAAGTGAAATTGAGAAGGATGATTTCATTTAAACCGTGGTAAAGTAATTACGATAAGTTGCACATAGTTATGTTCAAGAAATATTTTGTTTTAAAGGTTAGCGTTTGGGGTTTGTGTTATTAAACATAGAGCACAATGAAAACTACGACTACATACATCAACAACACTATAGATAAAGAAAATAAGGCATAGTGGTGTTTGTTCAATGAGAATCATCCACAGACCAAAAGACAACATTTTATTATGAATTTACGTACGTTTTGTTTTCTATTTGAGGGATGATGGCATTAATGTATATAACTTGAATATATTTAACTTCCTATTGGTTTTTTAATGTTACATTCATAATTTTTCTGTTTGTACGCTAGTTTACGTTTTCATCTCTGTACATTGTGAGTTATTGTTTAACTGTTTCTTTCAAAATGTTGTATTATTTATAGATACTACATATTGTTTTCACTATACACTTTATGAAAACAGCAGACATGTGTATTTGACATGATAAATCAAATATATAATGACATTTCATCTGCAGGCTGATATTCAAGTAAAATGCAACGTTTTGTAGGATGATAAACGGTTGATGGTATATTTTTTTTAAATGATTGTATTTGCAGGATGTAAACGAAAGTGTAGAATCAATGAAAGGTGTGTTAAAGGAAAATGCCGATGCAAGCGAGGTACCTTCAGGACAAAACTAGGAACATGTAAGAGTAAGTGTCTCAACCTCAAATTGATTGTCAACAGCTATGTCACCTTTTTTTTTTAATTGTATGGTGTGTATTTCCTTAATGCGTCATATTTAATGATATCATTTGACCTGTAACAATATAACGACATGCTATCAAAACTTCATTTGAAATATTATAAAATTCTTTCAAGTATCTTATTAATGCAGTTTACTCTGTTTAGTTGTTGATATGTTTTTGAATATTTTAAAACTAAATTGATACATTTTCAGGAAAGATACCGTGTACACCAAAATGTAAGAGTGGATTCGTTTGTAGCTTCCTTGGAAAATGCAGACCAAAAGGTATATTTACATTTCGTTACTAAAAGTGACATTGGGAAGGACGATTTCATTTAAACCGTGGTAAAGTAATCACGATAAGTTGCACATAGTTATGTTTAAGAAATATTTTGTTTTAAGTGTTAGCGTTTGGGGTTTGTGTTATTAAACATAGAGCACAATGAAAACTACGACTACATACATCAACAACACTATAGATAAAGAAAATAAGGCATAGTGGTGTTTGTTCAATGAGAATCATCCACAGACCAAAAGACAACATTTTATTATGAATTTACGTACGTTTTGTTTTCTATTTGAGGGATGATGGCATTAATGTATATAACTTGAATATATTAAACTTCCTATTGGTTTTTTAATGTTACATTCATATTTTTTCTGTTTGTACGCTAGTTTACGTTTTCATCTCTGTACATTGTGAGTTATTGTTTAACTGTTTCTTTCAAAATGTTGTAATATTTATAGATACTACATATTTTTTTCACTATACACTTTATGAAAACAGCAGACATGTGTATTTGACATGATAAATCAAATATATAATGACATTTCATCTGCAGACTGATATTCAGGTTAAAATGCAACGTTTTGTAGGATGATAAACGGTTGATGGTATATTTTTTTTAAATGATTGTATTTGAAGGATGTAAACGAAAGTGTAGAATCAATGAAAGGTGTGTTAAAGGAAAATGCCGATGCAAGCGAGGTACCTTCAGGACAAAACTAGGAACATGTAAGAGTAAGTGTCTCAACCTCAAATTGATTGTCAACAGCTATGTCACCTTCTTTTTTGTAAATTGTATGATGTGTATTTCCTAAATGCGTCATATTTAATGATATCATTTGACCTGTAAGAATATAACGACATGCTATCAAAACTTCATTTGAAATATTATAAAATTCTTTCAAGTATGTTATTGATGCAGTTAACTCTGTTTAGTTTTTAATATGTTTTTGAATATTTTAAAACTAAATTAATACATTTTCAGGAAAGATACCGTGTACACCAAAATGTAAGAGTGGATTCGTTTGTAGCTTCCTTGGAAAATGCAGACCAAAAGGTATATTTACATTTCGTTACTAAAAGTGACATTGAGAAGGATGATTTCATTTAAACCGTGGTAAAGTAATCACGATAAGTTGCACATAGTTATGTTCAAGAAATATTTTGTTTTAAATGTTAGCGTTCGGGTTTGTGTTATTAAACATAGAGCACAATGAAAACTACGACTACATACATCAGCAACATTATAGATAAAGAAAATAAGGCATAGTGGTGTTTGTTCAATGAGAATCACCCACAGACCAAAAGACAACATTTTATTATGAATTTACGTACGTTTTGTTTTCTATTTGAGGGATGATGGCATTAATGTATATAACTTGAATATATTAAACTTCCTATTGGTTTTTTAATGTTACATTCATAATTTTTCTGTTTGTACGCAAGTTTACGTTTTCATCTCTGTACATTGTGAGTTATTGTTTAACTGTTTCTATCAAAATGTTGTATTATTTATAGATACTACATATTTTTTTCACTATACACTTTATGAAAACAGCAGACATGTGTATTTGACATGATAAATCAAATATATAATGACATTTCATCTGCAGGCTGATATTCAGGTAAAATGCAACGTTTTGTAGTATGATAAATGGTTAATGGTATATTTTCTATAATGATTGTATTTGCAGGATGTAAACGAAAGTGTAGAATCAATGAAAGGTGTGTTAAAGGAAAATGCCGATGCAAGCGAGATACCTTCAGGACAAAACTAGGAACATGTAAGAGTAAGTGTCTCAACCTCAAATTGATTGTCAACAGCTATGTCACCTTCTTTTTTTTTAATTGTATGATGTGTATTTCCTAAATGCGTCATATTTAATGATATCATTTGACCTGTAACAATATAACGACATGCTATCAAAACTTCATTTTAAATATTATAAAATTCTTTCAAGTATCTTATTAATGCAGTTTACTCTGTTTAGTTGTTGATATGTTTTTGAATATTTTAAAACTAAATTGATACATTTTCAGGAAAGATACCGTGTACACGAAAATGTAAGAATGGATTCGTTTGTAGCTTCCTTGGAAAATGCAGACCAAAAGGTATATTTACATTTCGTTACTAATAGTGACATTGAGAAGGACGATTTCATTTAAACCGTGGTAAAGTAATCACGATAAGTTGCACATAGTTATGTTCAAGAAATATTTTGTTTTAAATGTTAGCGTTTGGGGTTTGTTTTATTAAACATAGAGCACAATGAAAACTACGACTACATACATCAACAACACTATAGATAAAGAAAATAAGGCATAGTAATGTTTGTTCAATGAGAATCATCCACAGACCAAAAGACAACATTTTATTATGAATTTACGTACGTTTTGTTTCTTTGAGGGATGATGGCATTAATGTATATAACTTGAATATATTAAACTTCCTATTGGTTTTTTAATGTTACATTCATAATTTTCTGTTTGTACGCTAGTTTACGTTTTCATCTTTGTACATTGTGAGTTATTGTTTAACTGTTTCTTTCAAAATGTTGTATTATTTATAGATACTACATATTGTTTTCACTATACACTTTATGAAAACAGCAGACATGTGTATTTGACATGATAAATCAAATATATAATGACATTTCATCTACAGGCTGATATTCAGGTAAAACGCAACGTTTTGTAGGATGATAAACGGTTGATGGTATATTTTTTTATAATGATTGTATTTGCAGGATGTAAACGAAAGTGTAGAATCAATGAAAGGTGTGTTAAAGGAAAATGCCGATGCAAGCGAGATACCTTCAGGACAAAACTAGGAACATGTAAGAGTAAGTGTCTCAACCTCAAATTGATTGTCAACAGCTATGTCACCTTCTTTTTTTTTAATTGTATGATGTGTATTTCCTAAATGCGTCATATTTAATGATATCATTTGACCTGTAACAATATAACGACATGCTATCAAAACTTCATTTGAAATATTATAAAATTCTTTCAAGTATCTTATTAATGCAGTTTAATCTGTTTAGTTGTTGATATGTTTTTGAATTTTTAAAAACTAAATTGATACATTTTCAGGAAAGATACCGTGTACACGAAAATGTAAGAGTGGATTCGTTTGTAGCTTCCTTGGAAAATGCAGACCGAAAGGTATATTTACATTTCGTTACTAAAAGTGACATTGAGAAGGATGATTTCATTTAAACCGTGGTAAAGTAATCACGATAAGTTGCACATAGTTATGTTCAAGAAATATTTTGTTTTAAATGTTAGCGTTTGGTGTTTGTTTTATTAAACATAGAGCACAATGAAAACTACGACTACATACATCAACAACACTATAGATAAAGAAAATAAGGCATAGTGGTGTTTGTTCAATGAAAATCATCCACAGACCAAAAGACAACATTTTATTATTAATTTACGTACGTTTTGTTTTCTATTTGAGGGATGATGGCATTAATGTATATAACTTGAATATATTAAACTTCCTATTGGTTTTTTAATGTTACATTCATAATTTTCTGTTTGTACGCTAGTTTACGTTTTCGTCTTTGTACATTGTGAGTTATTGTTTAACTGTTTCTTTCAAAATGTTGTATTATTTATAGATACTACATATTGTTTTCACTATACACTTTATGAAAACAGCAGACATGTGTATTTGACATGATAAATCAAAAATATAATGACATTTCATCTACAGGCTGATATTCAGGTAAAATGCAACGTTTTGTAGGATGATAAACGGTTGATGGTATATTTTTTTATACTGATTGTATTTGCAGGATGTAAACGAAAGTGTAGAATCAATGAAAGGTGTGTTAAAGGAAAATGCCGATGCAAGCGAGGTACCTTCAGGACAAAACTAGGAACATGTAAGAGTAAGTGTCTCAACCTCAAATTGATTGTCAACAGCTATGTCACCTTCTCTTTTTTTAATTGTATGATGTGTATTTCCTAAATGCGTCATATTTAATGATATCATTTGACCTGTAACAATATAACGACATGCTATCAAAACTTCATTTGAAATATTATAAAATTCTTTCAAGTATCTTATTAATGCAGTTTACTCTGTTTAGTTGTTGATATGTTTTTGAATATTTTAAAACTAAATTGATACATTTTCAGGAAAGATACCGTGTACACGAAAATGTAAGAGTGGATTCGTTTGTAGCTTCCTTGGAAAATGCAGACCAAAAGGTATATTTACATTTCGTTACTAAAAGTGAAATTGAGAAGGATGATTTCATTTAAACCGTGGTAATGTAATCACGATAAGTTGCACATAGTTATGTTCAAGAAATATTTTGTTTTAAATGTTAGCGTTTGGGGTTTGTGTTATTAAACATAGAGCACAATGAAAACTACGACTACATACATCAACAACACTATAGATAAAGAAAATAAGGCATAGTGGTGTTTGTTCAATGATAATCATCCACAGACCAAAAGACAACATTTTATTATGAATTTACGTACGTTTTGTTTTCTATTTGAGGGATGATGGCATTAATGTATATAACTTGAATATATTAAACTTCCTATTGGTTTTTTAATGTTACATTCATAATTTTTCTGTTTGTACGCTAGTTTACGCTTTCATCTCTGTACATTGTGAGTTATTGTTTAACTGTGTCTTTCAAAATGTTGTATTATTTATAGATACTACATATTGTTTTCACTATACACTTTATGAAAACAGCAGACATGTGTATTTGACATGATAAATCAAATATATAATGACATTTCATCTGCAGGCTGATATTCAAGTAAAATGCAACGTTTTGTAGGATGATAAACGGTTGATGGTATATTTTTTTTAAATGATTGTATTTGCAGGATGTAAACGAAAGTGTAGAATCAATGAAAGATGTGTTAAAGGAAAATGCCGATGCAAGCGAGGTACCTTCAGGACAAAACTAGGAACATGTAAGAGTAAGTGTCTCAACCTCAAATTGATTGTCAACAGCTATGTCTTCTTTTTTTTTTTTAATTGTATGGTGTGTATTTCCTAAATGCGTCATATTTAATGATATCATTTGACCTGTAACAATATAACGACATGCTATCAAAACTTCATTTGAAATATTATAAAATTATTTCAAGTATCTTATTAATGCAGTTTACTCTGTTTAGTTGTTGATATGTTTTTGAATATTTTAAAACTAAATTGATACATTTTCAGGAAAGATACCGTGTACACGAAAATGTAAGAGTGGATTCGTTTGTAGCTTCCTTGGAAAATGCAGACCAAAAGGTATATTTACATTTCGTTACTAAAAGTGACATTGGGAAGGACGATTTCATTTTAACCGTGGTAAAGTAATCACGATAAGTTGCACATAGTTATGTTCAAGAAATATTTTGTTTTAAATGTTAGCGTTTGGGGTTTGTTTTATTAAACATAGAGCATATTGAAAACTACGACTACATACATCAACAACACTATAGATAAAGAAAATAAGGCATAGTGGTGTTTGTTCAATGAAAATCATCCACAGACCAAAAGACAACATTTTATTATGAATTTACGTACGTTTTGTTTTCTATTTGAGGGATGATGGCATTAATGTATATAACTTGAATATATTAAACTTCCTATTGGTTTTTTAATGTTACATTCATATTTTTTCTGTTTGTACGCTAGTTTACGTTTTCATCTCTGTACATTGTGGGTTATTGTTTAACTGTTTCTTTCAAAATGTTGTATTATTTATAGATACTACATATTGTTTTCACTATACACTGTATGAAAACAGCAGACATGTGTATTTGACATGATAAATCAAATATATAATGACATTTCATCTACAGGCTGATATTCAGGTAAAATGCAACGTTTTGTAGGATGATAAACGGTTGACGGTATATTTTTTTTTATAATGATTGTATTTGCAGGATGTAAACGAAAGTGTAGAATCAATGAAAAGTGTGTTAAAGGAAAATGCCGATGCAAGCGAGGTACCTTCAGGACAAAACTAGGAACATGTAAGAGTAAGTGTCTCAACCTCAAATTGATTGTCAACAGCTTTGTCACCTTCTTTTTTTTTAATTGTATGATGTGTATTTCCAAAATGCGTCATATTTAATGATATCATTTGACCTGTAACAATATAACGACATGCTATCAAAACTTCATTTGAAATATTATAAAATTCTTTCAAGTATCTTATTAATGCAGTTTACTCTGTTTAGTTGTTGATATGTTTTTGAATATTAAAACTAAATTGATACATTTTCAGGAAAGATACCGTGTACACCAAAATGTAAGAGTGGATTCGTTTGTAGCTTCCTTGGAAAATGCAGACCAAAAGGTATATTTACATTTCGTTACTAAAAGTGACATTGAGAAGGACGATTTCATTTAAACCGTGGTAAAGTAATCACGATAAGTTGCACATAGTTATGTTCAAGAAATATTTTGTTTTAAATGTTAGCGTTTGGGGTTTGTGTTATTAAACATAGAGCACAATGAAAACTACGACTACATACATCAACAACACTATAGATAAAGAAAATAAGGCATAGTGGTGTTTGTTCAATGAAAATCATCCACAGACCAAAAGACAACATTTTATTATGAATTTACGTACGTTTTGTTTTCTATTTGAGGGATGATGGCATTAATGTATATAACTTGAATATATTAAACTTCCTATTGGTTTTTTAATGTTACATTCATATTTTTTCTGTTTGTACGCTAGTTTACGTTTTCATCTCTGTACATTGTGAGTTATTGTTTAACTGTTTCTTTCAAAATGTTGTATTATTTATAGATACTACATATTTTTTTCACTATACACTTTATGAAAACAGCAGACATGTGTATTTGACATGATAAATCAAATATATAATGACATTTCATCTACAGGCTGATATTCAGGTAAAATGCAACGTTTTGTAGGATGATAAACGGTTGACGGTATTTTTTTTTTTATAATGATTGTATTTGCAGGATGTAAACGAAAGTGTAGAATCAATGAAAAGTGTGTTAAAGGAAAATGCCGATGCAAGCGAGGTACCTTCAGGACAAAACTAGGAACATGTAAGAGTAAGTGTCTCAACCTCAAATTGATTGTCAACAGCTATGTCACCTTTTTTTTGAATTGTATGATGTGTATTTCCTAAATGCGTCATATTTAATGATATCATTTGACCTGTAACAATATAACGACATGCTATCAAAACTTCATTTGAAATATTATAAAATTCTTTCAAGTATCTTATTAATGCAGTTTACTCTGTTTAGTTGTTGATATGTTTTTGAATATTAAAACTAAATTGATACATTTTCAGGAAAGATACCGTGTACACCAAAATGTAAGAGTGGATTCGTTTGTAGCTTCCTTGGAAAATGCAGACCAAAAGGTATATTTACATTTCGTTACTAAAAGTGACATTGAGAAGGACGATTTCATTTAAACCGTGGTAAAGTAATCACGATAAGTTGCACATAGTTATGTTCAAGAAATATTTTGTTTTAAATGTTAGCGTTTGGGGTTTGTGTTATTAAACATAGAGCACAATGAAAACTACGACTACATACATCAACAACACTATAGATAAAGAAAATAAGGCATAGTGGTGTTTGTTCAATGAAAATCATCCACAGACCAAAAGACAACATTTTATTATGAATTTACGTACGTTTTGTTTTCTATTTGAGGGATGATGGCATTAATGTATATAACTTGAATATATTAAACTTCCTATTGGTTTTTTAATGTTACATTCATATTTTTTCTGTTTGTACGCTAGTTTACGTTTTCATCTCTGTACATTGTGAGTTATTGTTTAACTGTTTCTTTCAAAATGTTGTATTATTTATAGATACTACATATTTTTTTCACTATACACTTTATGAAAACAGCAGACATGTGTATTTGACATGATAAATCAAATATATAATGACATTTCATCTACAGGCTGATATTCAGGTAAAATGCAACGTTTTGTAGGATGATAAACGGTTGACGGTATTTTTTGTTTTATAATGATTGTATTTGCAGGATGTAAACGAAAGTGTAGAATCAATGAAAAGTGTGTTAAAGGAAAATGCCGATGCAAGCGAGGTACCTTCAGGACAAAACTAGGAACATGTAAGAGTAAGTGTCTCAACCTCAAATTGATTGTCAACAGCTATGTCACCTTTTTTTTGAATTGTATGATGTGTATTTCCTAAATGCGTCATATTTAATGATATCATTTGACCTGTAACAATATAACGACATGCTATCAAAACTTCATTTGAAATATTATAAAATTCTTTCAAGTATCTTATTAATGCAGTTTACTCTGTTTAGTTGTTGATATGTTTTTGAATATTTTAAAACTAAATTGATACATTTTCAGGAAAGATACCGTGTACACGAAAATGTAAGAGTGGATTCGTTTGTAGCTTCCTTGGAAAATGCAGACCAAAAGGTATATTTACATTTCGTTACTAAAAGTGACATTGAGAAGGACGATTTCATTTAAACCGTGGTAAAGTAATCACGATAAGTTGCACATAGTTATGTTCAAGAAATATTTTGTTTTAAATGTTAGCGTTTGGGGTTTGTTTTATTAAACATAGAGCACAATGAAAACTACGACTACGTACATCAACAACACTATAGATAAAGAAAATAAGGCATAGTGGTGTTTGTTCAATGAGAATCATCCACAGACCAAAAGACAACATTTTATTATGAATTTACGTACGTTTTGTTTTCTATTTGAGGGATGATGGCATTAATGTATATAACTTGAATATATTAAACTTCCTATTGGTTTTTTAATGTTACATTCATAATTTTTCTGTTTGTACGCTAGTTTACGTTTTCATCTCTGTACATTGTGAGTTATTGTTTAACTGTTTCTTTCAAAATGTTGTATTATTTATAGATACTACATATTTTTTTCACTATACACTTTATGAAAACAGCAGACATGTGTATTTGACATGATAAATCAAATATATAATGACATTTCATCTACAGGCTGATATTCAGGTAAAATGCAACGTTTTGTAGGATGATAAACGGTTGACGGTATATTTTTTTTTATAATGATTGTATTTGCAGGATGTAAACGAAAGTGTAGAATCAATGAAAAGTGTGTTAAAGGAAAATGCCGATGCAAGCGAGGTACCTTCAGGACAAAACTAGGAACATGTAAGAGTAAGTGTCTCAACCTCAAATTGATTGTCAACAGCTATGTCACCTTTTTTTTTAATTGTATGATGTGTATTTCCTAAATGCGTCATATTTAATGATATCATTTGACTTGTAACAATATAACGACATGCTATCAAAACTTCATTTGAAATATTATAAAATTCTTTCAAGTATCTTATTAATGCAGTTTACTCTGTTTAGTTGTTGATATGTTTTTGAATATTTTAAAACTAAATTGATACATTTTCAGGAAAGATACCGTGTACACGAAAATGTAAGAGTGGATTCGTTTGTAGCTTCCTTGGAAAATGCAGACCAAAAGGTATATTTACATTTCGTTACTAAAAGTGACATTGAGAAGGACGATTTCATTTAAACCGTGGTAAAGTAATCACGATAAGTTGCACAAAGTTATGTTCAAGAAATATTTTGTTTTAAATGTTAGCGTTTGGGGTTTGTGTTATTAAACATAGAGCACAATGAAAACTACGACTACATACATCAACAACACTATAGATAAAGAAAATAAGGCATAGTGGTGTTTGTTCAATGAAAATCATCCACAGACCAAAAGACAACATTTTATTATGAATTTACGTACGTTTTGTTTTCTATTTGAGGGATGATGGCATTAATGTATATAACTTGAATATATTAAACTTCCTATTGGTTTTTTAATGTTACATTCATATTTTTTCTGTTTGTACGCTAGTTTACGTTTTCATCTCTGTACATTGTGAGTTATTGTTTAACTGTTTCTTTCAAAATGTTGTATTATTTATAGATACTACATATTTTTTTCACTATACACTTTATGAAAACAGCAGACATGTGTATTTGACATGATAAATCAAATATATAATGACATTTCATCTGCAGGCTGATATTCAGGTAAAATGCAACGTTTTGTAGGATGATAAACGGTTGATGGTATATTTTTTTAAAATGATTGTATTTGCAGGATGTAAACGAAAGTGTAGAATCAATGAAAGGTGTGTTAAAGGAAAATGCCGATGCAAGCGAGGTACCTTCAGGACAAAACTAGGAACATGTAAGAGTAAGTGTCTCAACCTCAAATTGATTGTCAACAGCTATGTCTTCTTTTTTTTTTAATTGTATGATGTGTATTTCCTAAATGCGTCATATTTAATGACATCATTTGACTTGTAACAATATAACGACATGCTATCAAAACTTCATTTGAAATATTATAAAATTCTTTCAAGTATCTTATTAATGCAGTTTACTCTGTTTAGTTGTTGATATGTTTTTGAATATTTTAAAACTAAATTGATACATTTTCAGGAAAGATACCGTGTACACCAAAATGTAAGAGTGGATTCGTTTGTAGCTTCCTTGGAAAATGCAGACCAAAAGGTATATTTACATTTCGTTACTAAAAGTGACATTGAGAAGGATGATTTCATTTAAACCGTGGTAAAGTAATCACGATAAGTTGCACATAGTTATGTTCAAGAAATATTTTGTTTTAAATGTTAGCGTTTGGGGTTTGTTTTATTAAACATAGAGCACAATATAACTACGACTCCATACATCAACAACACTATAGATAAAGAAAATAAGGCATAGTGGTGTTTGTTCAATGAGAATCATCCACAGACCAAAAGACAACATTTTATTATTAATTTACGTACGTTTTGTCTTTCTATTTGAGGGATGATGGCATTAATGTATATAACTTGAATATATTAAACTTCCTATTGGTTTTTTAATGTTACATTCATAATTTTCTGTTTGTGCGCTAGTTTATGTTTTCATCTTTGTACATTGTGAGTTATTGTTTAACTGTTTCTTTCAAAATGTTGTATTATTTATAGATACTACATATTGTTTTCACTATACACTTTATGAAAACAGCAGACATGTGTTTTTGACATGATAAATCAAATATATAATGACATTTCATCTGCAGGCTGATATTCAGGTAAAATGCAACGTTTTGTAGGATGATAAATGGTTGATGGTATATTTTCTATAATGACTGTATTTGCAGGATGTAAACAAAAGTGTAGAATCAATGAAAGGTGTGTTAAAGGAAAATGCCGATGCAAGCGAGGTACCTTCAGGACAAAACTAGGAACATGTAAGAGTAAGTGTCTCAACCTCAAATTGATTGTCAACAGCTATGTCACCTTTTTTTTTTTTAATTGTATGGTGTGTATTTCCTAAATGCGTCATATTTAATGATATCATTTGACCTGTAACAATATAACGACATGCTATCAAAACTTCATTTGAAATATTATAAAATTCTTTCAAGTATCTTATTAATGCAGTTTACTCTGTTTAGTTGTTGATATGTTTTTGAATATTTTAAAACTAAATTGATACATTTTCAGGAAAGATACCGTGTACACGAAAATGTAAGAGTGGATTCGTTTGTAGCTTCCTTGGAAAATGCAGACCAAAAGGTATATTTACATTTCGTTACTAAAAGTGACATTGAGAAGGACGATTTCATTTAAACCGTGGTAAAGTAATCACGATAAGTTGCACATAGTTATGTTCAAGAAATATTTTGTTTTAAATGTTAGCGTTTGGGGTTTGTTTTATTAAACATAGAGCACAATGAAAACTACGACTACGTACATCAACAACACTATAGATAAAGAAAATAAGGCATAGTGGTGTTTGTTCAATGAGAATCATCCACAGACCAAAAGACAACATTTTATTATGAATTTACGTACGTTTTGTTTTCTATTTGAGGGATGATGGCATTAATGTATATAACTTGAATATATTAAACTACCTATTGGTTTTTTAATGTTACATTCATAATTTTTCTGTTTGTACGCTAGTTTACGTTTTCATCTCTGTACATTGTGAGTTATTGTTTAACTGTTTCTTTCAAAATGTTGTATTATTTATAGATACTACATATTTTTTTCACTATACACTTTATGAAAACAGCAGACATGTGTATTTGACATGATAAATCAAATAGATAATGACATTTCATCTACAGGCTGATATTCAGGTTAAATGCAACGTTTTGTAGGATGATAAACGGTTGATGGTATATTTTTTTATAATGATTGTATTTGCAGGATGTAAACGAAAGTGTAGAATCAATGAAAGGTGTGTTAAAGGAAAATGCCGATGCAAGCGAGGTACCTTCAGGACAAAACTAGGAACATGTAAGAGTAAGTGTCTCAACCTCAAATTGATTGTCAACAGCTATGTCACCTTCTTTTTTCTTAATTGTATGATGTGTATTTCCTAAATGCGTCATATACAATGATATCAATTGACCTGTAACAATATAACGACATGCTATCAAAACTTCATTTGAAATATTATAAAATTCTTTCAAGTATCTTATTAATGCAGTTTACTCTGTTTAGTTGTTGATATGTTTTTGAATATTTTAAAACTAAATTGATACATTTTCAGGAAAGATACCGTGTACACGAAAATGTAAGAATGGATTCGTTTGTAGCTTCCTTGGAAAATGCAGACCAAAAGGTATATTTACATTTCGTTACTAAAAGTGACATTGAGAAGGATGATTTCCTTTAAACCGCGGTAAAGTAATCACGATAATTTGCACATAGTTATGTTCAAGAAATATTTTGTTTTAAATGTTAGCGTTTGGGGTTTGTGTTATTAAACATAGAGCATAATGAAAACTACGACTACATACATAAACAACACTATCGATAAAGAAAATAAGGCATAGTGGTGTTTGTTCAATGAGAATCACCCACAGACCAAAAGACAACATTTTATTATGAATTTACGTACGTTTTGTTTTCTATTTGAGGGATGATGGCATTAATGTATATAACTTGAATAGATTAAACTTCCTATTGGTTTTTTAATGTTTCATTCATAATTTTTCTGTTTGTACGCTAGTATACGTTTTCATCTCTGTACATTGTGAGTTATTGTTTAACTGTTTCTTTCAAAATGTTGTATTATTTATAGATACTACATATTTTTTTTCACTATACACTGTATGAAAACAGCAGACATGTGTATTTGACATGATAAATCAAATATATAATGACATTTCATCTACAGGCTGATATTCAGGTAAAATGCAACGTTTTGTAGGATGATAAACGGTTGACGGTATATTTTTTTTTATAATGATTGTATTTGCAGGATGTAAACGAAAGTGTAGAATCAATGAAAAGTGTGTTAAAGGAAAATGCCGATGCAAGCGAGGTACCTTCAGGACAAAACTAGGAACATGTAAGAGTAAGTGTCTCAACCTCAAATTGATTGTCAACAGCTTTGTCACCTTCTTTTTTTTTAATTGTATGATGTGTATTTCCAAAATGCGTCATATTTAATGATATCATTTGACCTGTAACAATATAACGACATGCTATCAAAACTTCATTTGAAATATTATAAAATTCTTTCAAGTATCTTATTAATGCAGTTTACTCTGTTTAGTTGTTGATATGTTTTTGAATATTTTAAAACTAAATTGATACATTTTCAGGAAAGATACCGTGTACACCAAAATGTAAGAGTGGATTCGTTTGTAGCTTCCTTGGAAAATGCAGACCAAAAGGTATATTTACATTTCGTTACTAAAAGTGACATTGAGAAGGACGATTTCATTTAAACCGTGGTAAAGTAATCACGATAAGTTGCACATAGTTATGTTCAAGAAATATTTTGTTTTAAATGTTAGCGTTTGGGGTTTGTTTTATTAAACATAGAGCACAATGAAAACTACGACTACGTACATCAACAACACTATAGATAAAGAAAATAAGGCATAGTGTTGTTTGTTCAATGAGAATCATCCACAGACCAAAAGACAACATTTTATTATGAATTTACGTACGTTTTGTTTTCTATTTGAGGGATGATGGCATTAATGTATATAACTTAAATAGATTAAACTTCCTATTGGTTTTTTAATGTTACATTCATAATTTTTCTGTTTGTACGCTAGTTTACGTTTTCATCTCTGTACATTGTGAGTTATTGTTTAACTGTTTCTTTCAAAATGTTGTATTATTTATAGATACTACATATTTTTTTCACTATACACTTTATGAAAACAGCAGACATGTGTATTTGACATGATAAATCAAATATATAATGACATTTCATCTACAGGCTGATATTCAGGTAAAATGCAACGTTTTGTAGGATGATAAACGGTTGACGGTATATTTTTTTTTATAATGATTGTATTTGCAGGATGTAAACGAAAGTGTAGAATCAATGAAAAGTGTGTTAAAGGAAAATGCCGATGCAAGCGAGGTACCTTCAGGACAAAACTAGGAACATGTAAGAGTAAGTGTCTCAACCTCAAATTGATTGTCAACAGCTATGTCACCTTTTTTTTAATTGTTTGGTGTGTATTTCCTAAATGCGTCATATTTAATGATATTATTTGACCTGTAACAATATAACGACATGCTATCAAAACTTCATTTGAAATATTATAAAATTCTTTCAAGTATCTTATTAATGCAGTTTACTCTGTTTAGTTGTTGATATGTTTTTGAATATTTTAAAACTAAATTGATACATTTTCAGGAAAGATACCGTGTACACGAAAATGTAAGAGTGGATTCGTTTGTAGCTTCCTTGGAAAATGCAGACCAAAAGGTATATTTACATTTCGTTACTAAAAGTGACATTGAGAAGGATGATTTCATTTAAACCGTGGTAAAGTAATCACGATAAGTTGCACATAGTTATGTTCAAGAAATATTTTGTTTTAAATGTTAGCGTTTGGGGTTTGTTTTATTAAACATAGAGCACAATATAACTACGACTACATACATCAACAACACTATAGATAAAGAAAATAAGGCATAGTGGTGTTTGTTCAATGAGAATCATCCACAGACCAAAAGACAACATTTTATTATTAATTTACGTACGTTTTGTCTTTCTATTTGAGGGATGATGGCATTAATGTATATAACTTGAATATATTAAACTTCCTATTGGTTTTTAAATGTTACATTCATAATTTTCTGTTTGTGCGCTAGTTTATGTTTTCATCTTTGTACATTGTGAGTTATTGTTTAACTGTTTCTTTCAAAATGTTGTATTATTTATAGATACTACATATTGTTTTCACTATACACTTTATGAAAACAGCAGACATGTGTTTTTGACATGATAAATCAAATATATAATGACATTTCATCTGCAGGCTGATATTCAGGTAAAATGCAACGTTTTGTAGGATGATAAATGGTTGATGGTATATTTTCTATAATGACTGTATTTGCAGGATGTAAACAAAAGTGTAGAATCAATGAAAGGTGTGTTAAAGGAAAATGCCGATGCAAGCGAGGTACCTTCAGGACAAAACTAGGAACATGTAAGAGTAAGTGTCTCAACCTCAAATTGATTGTCAACAGCTATGTCACCTTTTTTTTTTTTTTAATTGTATGGTGTGTATTTCCTAAATGCGTCATATTTAATGATATCATTTGACCTGTAACAATATAACGACATGCTATCAAAACTTCATTTGAAATATTATAAAATTCTTTCAAGTATCTTATTAATGCAGTTTACTCTGTTTAGTTGTTGATATGTTTTTGAATATTTTAAAACTAAATTGATACATTTTCAGGAAAGATACCGTGTACACGAAAATGTAAGAGTGGATTCGTTTGTAGCTTCCTTGGAAAATGCAGACCAAAAGGTATATTTACATTTCGTTACTAAAAGTGACATTGAGAAGGACGATTTCATTTAAACCGTGGTAAAGTAATCACGATAAGTTGCACATAGTTATGTTCAAGAAATATTTTGTTTTAAATGTTAGCGTTTGGTGTTTGTTTTATTAAACATAGAGCACAATGAAAACTACAACTACGTACATCAACAACACTATAGATAAAGAAAATAAGGCATAGTGGTGTTTGTTCAATGAGAATCATCCACAGACCAAAAGACAACATTTTATTATGAATTTACGTACGTTTTGTTTTCTATTTGAGGGATGATGGCATTAATGTATATAACTTGAATATATTAAACTACCTATTGGTTTTTTAATGTTACATTCATAATTTTTCTGTTTGTACGCTAGTTTACGTTTTCATCTCTGTACATTGTGAGTTATTGTTTAACTGTTTCTTTCAAAATGTTGTATTATTTATAGATACTACATATTTTTTTCACTATACACTTTATGAAAACAGCAGACATGTGTATTTGACATGATAAATCAAATAGATAATGACATTTCATCTACAGGCTGATATTCAGGTTAAATGCAACGTTTTGTAGGATGATAAACGGTTGATGGTATATTTTTTTATAATGATTGTATTTGCAGGATGTAAACGAAAGTGTAGAATCAATGAAAGGTGTGTTAAAGGAAAATGCCGATGCAAGCGAGGTACCTTCAGGACAAAACTAGGAACATGTAAGAGTAAGTGTCTCAACCTCAAATTGATTGTCAACAGCTATGTCACCTTCTTTTTTCTTAATTGTATGATGTGTATTTCCTAAATGCGTCATATACAATGATATCAATTGACCTGTAACAATATAACGACATGCTATCAAAACTTCATTTGAAATTTTATAAAATTCTTTCAAGTATCTTATTAATGCAGTTTACTCTGTTTAGTTGTTGATATGTTTTTGAATATTTTAAAACTAAATTGATACATTTTCAGGAAAGATACCGTGTACACGAAAATGTAAGAATGGATTCGTTTGTAGCTTCCTTGGAAAATGCATACCAAAAGGTATATTTACATTTCGTTACTAAAAGTGACATTGAGAAGGATGATTTCATTTAAACCGTGGTAAAGTAATCACGATAATTTGCACATAGTTATGTTCAAGAAATATTTTGTTTTAAATGTTAGCGTTTGGGGTTTGTGTTATTAAACATAGAGCACAATGAAAACTACGACTACATACATAAACAACACTATCGATAAAGAAAATAAGGCATAGTGGTGTTTGTTCAATGAGAATCATCCACAGACCAAAAGACAACATTTTATTATGAATTTACGTACGTTTTGTTTTCTATTTGAGGGATGATGGCATTAATGTATATAACTTGAATAGATTAAACTTCCTATTGGTTTTTTAATGTTTCATTCATAATTTTTCTGTTTGTACGCTAGTTTACGTTTTCATCTCTGTACATTGTGAGTTATTGTTTAACTGTTTCTTTCAAAATGTTGTATTATTTATAGATACTACATATTTTTTTCACTATACACTTTATGAAAACAGCAGACATGTGTATTTGACATGAAAAATCAAATATATAATGACATTTCATCTGGAGGCTGATATTCAGGTAAAATGCAACGTTTTGTAGGATGATAAACGGTTGATGGTATATTTTTTTTAAATGATTGTATTTGCAGGATGTAAACGAAAGTGTAGAATCAATGAAAGGTGTGTTAAAGGAAAATGCCGATGCAAGCGAGGTACCTTCAGGACAAAACTAGGAACATGTAAGAGTAAGTGTCTCAACCTCAAATTAATTGTCAACAGCTATGTCACCTTCTTTTTTTTTAATTGTATGATGTGTATTTCCTAAATGCGTCATATTTAATGATATCATTTGACCTGTAACAATATAACGACATGCTATCAAAACTTCATTTGAAATATTATAAAGTTTCATTCAAGTATGTTATTGATTCAGTTTACTCTGTTTAGTTGTTGATATGTTTTTGAATAATTTAAAACTAAATTGATACATTTTCAGGAAAGATACCGTGTACACGAAAATGTAAGAGTGGATTCGTTTGTAGCTTCCTTGGAAAATGCAGACCAAAAGGTATATTTACATTTCGTTACTAAAAGTGACATTGAGAAGGACGATTTCATTTAAACCGTGGTAAAGTAATCACGATAAGTTGCACATAGTTATGTTCAAGAAATATTTTGTTTTAAATGTTAGCGTGTGGGGTTTGTTTTATTAAACATAGAGCACAATGAAAACTACGACTACATACATCAACAACACTATAGATAAAGAAAATAAGGCATAGTGGTGTTTGTTCAATGAGAATCATCCACAGACCAAAAGACAACATTTTATTATGAATTTACGTACGTTTTGTTTTCTATTTGAGGGATGATGGCATTAATGTATATAACTTGAATAGATTAAACTTCGTATTGGTTTTTTAATGTTTCATTCATAATTTTTCTGTTTGTACGCTAGTTTACGTTTTCATCTCTGTACATTGTGAGTTATTGTTTAACTGTTTCTTTCAAAATGTTGTATTATTTATAGATACTACATATTTTTTTCACTATACTCTTTATGAAAACAGCAGACATGTGTATTTGACATGATAAATCAAATATATAATGACATTTCATCTACAGGCTGATATTCAGGTAAAATGCAATGTTTTGTAGGATGATAAACGGTTGATGGTATATTTTTTTATAATGATTGCATTTGCAGGATGTAAACGAAAGTGTAGAATCAATGAAAGGTGTGTTAAAGGAAAATGCCGATGCAAGCGAGGTACCTTCAGGACAAAACTGGGAACATGTAAGAGTAAGTGTCTCAATCTCAAAATGATTGTCAACAGCTATGTCATCTTCTTTTTTTTTAATTGTATGATGTGTTTTTCCTAAATGCGTCATATTTGATGATATCATTTGACCTGTAACAATATAACGACATGCTATCAAAACTTCATTTGAAATATTATAAAATTCTTTCAAGTATCTTATTGATGCAGTTTACTCTGTTTAGTTGTTGATATGTTTTTGAATATTTTAAAACTAAATTGATACTTTTTCAGGAAAGATACCGTGTACACCAAAATGTAAGAGTGGATTCGTTTGTAGCTTCCTTGGAAAATGCAGACCAAAAGGTATATTTACATTTCGTTACTAAAAGTGACATTGAGAAGGACGATTTCATTTAAACCGTGGTAAAGTAATCACGATAAGAAACACATAGTTATGTTCAAGAAATATTTTGTTTTAAATGTTAGCGTTTGGGGTTTGTTTTATTAAACAGAGAGCACAAAGAAAACTACGACTACATACATCAACAACACTATAGATAAAGAAAATAAGGCATAGTGGTGTTTGTTCAATGAGAATCATCCACAGACCAAAAGACAACATTTTATTATGAATTTACGTACGTTTTGTTTTCTATTTGAGGGATGATGGCATTAATGTATATAACTTGAATAGATTAAACTTCCTATTGGTTTTTTAATGTTACATTCATAATTTTCTGTTTGTACGCTAGTTTACGTTTTCATCTCTGTACATTGTGAGTTATTGTTTAACTGTTTCTTTCAAAATGTTGTATTATTTATAGATACTACATATTGTTTTCACTATACACTTTATGAAAACAGCAGACATGTGTATTTGATATGATAAATCAAATATATAATGACATCTCATCTACAGGCTAATATTCAGGTAAAATGCAACGTTTTGTAGGATGATAAACGGTTGTTGGTATATTTTCTATAATGATTGTATTTGCAGGATGTAAACGAAAGTGTAGAATCAATGAAAGGTGTATTAAAGGAAAATGCCGATGCAAGAAAGGAACCTTCAGGACAAAACTAGGAACATGTAAGAGTAAGTGTTTCAACCTGAGATTAATGTAAAAGCTTTGTCATATTAGTTTATTTTAAAAATGTGGTACTTTTTTTTTTATCTTTCACAACAATAATATTATATTACCGTTGGAAATATGACGACTTATATATTTATGAAAAGTGAGACGAAAGATACCAAAGGGACATTCAATATCATAAGTCGAAAAAACTGACAACACCATGGCTAAAAAAGAAAAAGACAAATAGACAAACAGTAGTACAGAAAACACAACATAAAAAACTAAAGATTGAGCATTACGAACCCCACTTAAAACTTTGGGTGATATATTTGCTCCAGAAGGGTAAGCATTGACTATTTTACCATGTGATTTAAGATAAACAGATCTGAATTGTTGCAGAGTGTTTTTGAATAGAGTGATATAATATTTACAAGCAGAAATTATTACCGTTATATGTTATAGAATACATTTCTTATACAAGAACTATTAAAAATCTAAATAACAAAAACTTAATATGTGTATCTATTTCCAAAGAGCGATGTAATGTTAATAGTTGTGGAATCAACGCAGTCTGTGTCAAAAGGAGATATTGTAGATGTAAAATGGGATATGCTGGTCATCCAAAAACATTATGTGAAGGTAAAGAATTAATTGTTAGTGGGTCAAATCAACATTACATTGCAGATAATTAATAACATGAGTCAAATCTGAATGAGACAAAAATCTGTGGCACAGGAATACCAAATTGAAAACTCATATAACAACAATGTATTGCCCTTAACAGTGTACTAGCGTCAAATCAATAAAGGGCCATTAAAAAAGAGTCGAAGGATACCAAATATCCATCTCAACATATACAAATACTGTTTTTGTATTTCATATATTATAACTAAATTTTTAAATAACCAAGCGTTGCAAAACTGACTACCAGTATTATATAACGTTCAGTAATTAATGCAATTATAATCTTAAATCATACAAAAATGTTATCTGCTGGTAATTATTTGTAGGTTTTTACACTATTGGTTTGTACAAAATATTCAGTATCACCATATATGAAGTACAGGGGGGGGGGGGGGCGATTTTTGCAGAATGAATATTTACTTTCTACTTTTGTTAGGACGCCTTATTTCTTTTCACTTTTGCACGCAACTATTTCCTGCATTGTTACGGATTTTGTTTGGAAGAATATTCTTTTGCATAACCTTTTGTCACCTCCGCCACCCCAGAATATGAAATATCAAATGGTCATCTCATTTCCTTGCAGTTGATCTGTTGATTGAACGTGCCATAATTATAATGATGTTAAAGTCTTACCAGTCAAATCATATTATTTGAGAAATATTAGTCTCTAAATACAATTTCAGAGGTAAAAGAATGTATCAAAAATGCAAAAGGAAATGACTACATTGGAAAAATGAGTACAACAGAATCTGGTAGAACATGTCAGGCATGGAATAAACAAACACCGCACCGTCACAGCAAATTGAATGTTGGAGATGCTAAAAACTACTGTAGGAATCCGGATAACGAACCAAGGCCATGGTGTTATACAACAGATAGGAGGAAACGTTGGGAATTTTGTAGAATTCCTATTTGTGGCAAGTAGTCTTAGATAGTTATGAATGAAATGCACATTTTGGTCTTATGCCTTTATGTACGTATGTGTTACTCTTTATTTCGGGAAACAAAATATTGCATTACACTTATCTAAGGCTGGCTTATTTTTAAATGTTTTTTTTTTATCTGATGCGCTTGTCCTGTGTTCATTTTATGGTTTTAATCTACAATACGGATCAAGTATCTACAAGACATCTTCTGTTACCTTTACCTTCAATCATGATACAAAAAACTGATTTCGACAAAAAATTGTGACGTCACAATTTTTATTTCGGTTTTTGTGTTCTTTACATGAGATTAGTTACAACTGGATTTTCATAAGAACTCCTGGACGTCGTATACGGGATCGTAGTCTCAACATGACAAATGACTACTGGAAACCGAACAGAGGCATCGTTTTTATTATATTTTCCCGGATATTACCAGATCGAACCGGGCTGAATTTTATGTGTGAAATAAAAGTTTTATGTACCAATCTTCTATAGCTGGTAGGTATGTAACAGATGCAAGAACCTCTGTTTGTATATCAAAATAGATGAAAATTACAATTACAATCGCATTACCGAATTAATTTCAGAGTACTACTTCCTCTAAGGATAACAGTAGTTTATATAAATGATTTTCGAATATTTTACAGGTGCACCAAAACCACCATGTGGTAGTGTGGTAATAATGGCATGTCATTCAGATCGTAAACACAGAACGGAATGTCGTGTTCCAAACGCTGAGAGAATTAATTATATTGAACTTAAAAGTGGCGAGGATAATCCGTCTTGCACATTTGGTGTTAACTATGGTTTCTACGGAGTGACGTTATGGTCAATAGAAAGTTGCCGGGAAAAATTTAAAGTTTGCTTTACTCCAAGTATGTTGTCATTTGAGGATCTAAGATTGAAAAAATTCTGATATACTTTCTACTTTATTCATACATCTATGAAATATATTAAATAAACTTCATGGAGAGTACAATTTAAAGGAATTTTCTTCATTGCGATTGTTTAAAAACATGATACCAGTTTGCATACACAACTGGCGTTTTAAAATAACCTTCTTCTGGTAAACTCGAGATCAACCATAAAAAAACGTTGGAAAAGCAAATAAAGTAAAAATAGAGCTAAGGTACTAAATTTGATCAAACCAATGTCAATCAGTTTCACTGTAACTTTTTAATTGTTTCATGCAAGCATATATATCGTTAACCAATCATACATACATATTCAAATCGAGGTAAAATGTACCAAATTTGCTACAAGATAGTTGACGAAAGTCGTCAAAAATGTGTGTTTTCCTGGTAAATAACAGTAATATAAATTTGAAAATCTTTATAATTGTACATCTTGTTTGAATGTTATAGTTTGTATCTGTTGAAATGAGATGACAAACATATGTAAATACTGCAAATATCTACAAGTGTATGCAGTTTGGATACAACTTCAGTTAAAAATGACTAAAAAGGGGTTTTACACTAAAAAATAAGTCAATCGAATATAGTTTATTCGCAAAATTTGCGAACATTAATCTTTCGAAGACATCTTTTACTTTAAAGTGTATCAATAACTGTTAATTTTTGTAAAATCAGCACAATTTTTTTTTTGTAATTTATTATTGATAATTACCAGTAAACTACAAATGAACTAGTCTTTACACAATTTGTTATGACTGTATGACATGTTTTGTTATTTTACAGAGAATCGTGTTCCAATACTTCCTCCTCCAGAAGGTAAGTCTCACTTTGTTTCTTACATTTATTTGGTATGTCAACGTAGGGCAAGTTTCCCAAAGTTGTATATTGAAAAGGTGAAATGCATGATAATTTGAAAGGCTCATGTGTTCGGCAAAAACCTGTGGTATATTTTTGTCTACACAAGTAGAATAGTCTGACAAGCAGAATTAAAGTTCCTGTATGTCTCCATTTGGTGCTTATTTCTTGAAAAGTAACATTACAATGCAAAAGAAGGGATAAATTAGGAGTGATTTGGCCACGAAAATTCATTAGAAATTATATCATGTATGATACCATTAATAATCATAATGTTTGGCATATGTTATTCACAAAATGTGAATATTAGCCAAACCTTGGCTATGCACTTTGACTGTAGCGTCTTTATGTATGGTGACACCATAATCGTGATGCATTTAAATTTAAGCAAAAATTTCCTAATTTAAAAAAAAAATGTTGGATAAGTTACCGTTTAATTGTAAAAGTCAAGATTTTGCTTAATATCTTATGTTTTAATTAATTTACTGGCATGGTATGGCTGTATAATCAATGACAATAGTGTATTTTTAACCAAAACTGCAATGTCTTATTAAAGTATAAAGATTCGACGTTTGTTTCTGAAAATCGGAGATAGTTGAACATATTTTGACTTTGTGCTCATTTAATAATCGTACTTTTTTCTTAATTTCACAATATTTTTTACATCTTTTAGAATGTCGCAATACTGAAAAGGGGGAGGACTATGTTGGAAAATGGAGTAAAACCGAAACTGGGAAGAATTGTCAGAGATGGGACCAACAATATCCACATCAACATGCTTTCTATCTTGATGGAAAAGATTCTGAAAATTACTGTAGAAATTTTGACGGTTCTGAAAGACCTTGGTGTTATACAGAGGATCCTTACACTGAGAGAGAATATTGTGCTATACATAAATGTGGTGAGTTGACCTTATTCTTGACCTTTTCTTGTTCGTTTTCAACCTTTTGGTGTTTAGACAAATCATGTGCAAAATTGTGTAATGATAACCAGAAACCCTACCTATGATCACCTATTTCACTGCAACAGATGCGTATTTTGATTATTGATTTTCCTTCAAGAATGATAAAGGTGAAATTATTGAAAATTATTTGAAAATCCAGAACCTAATACAAAATTGTGGTGATATTAACAAAAAGAATCAAAAGTATAAACCGATCCATAATTTCAAAAACCATAAAATCAAAGTTGATGAGCTGATACGTTTACTTATTCATGCAAGGAAAAGTATCAACCAATTACCAATTAATTGACATGTTACCGAAATACATAACACATATTTTTGTGATAGGTAAAAATGTCCATTGTGTATATTGTATTAAATCTACTCTGATAACGACTGCAACTGGAACTCATCGGATTGTACTTCCATGCAGTTTTTCGAGCATCAAATACTGGTGTGCACAATTACCACTACATTTGATCTTTTAGCGACTATTAAATTTTTTTTGAAATGCTGACTGATATTTTCATGAAATAGTCATAATTCATAATGTTAGAAATTTTAGTTTGGGTTTCGACATATTTCTTTTTAAATCATCCTTATCACATTTCTAAGGAAAATATGTGCTTAATAACTATATGGGCGTATTCTTTTAAATTGAAATTAAAATAATATGTATTTATAATTTTTATTCAAAGCACCTGAAGATCCAGGGGATGTAGATGGTGAGTATTTTCTTTATACTGAAAAACCCTGATACATCCTTCAAATTGTATGCATCGTCATTTACGAGTACAAGTTTTTCTAGTTTGAATTCGTTTTACTTTTGTCATTTCTGGGTCTTTTATACATTTGTAGATTGCTATGCGGTTTTTGTGTTGATCATGGTTAAAGACCTTTAGCTGCTAACGTCTACGTCATTTTGGTCTCTGGTGGAGACTTGTCTTATTGACATTCATATCACATCTTTTTTAATTTTTTTAATTAGCTTGTTATAAAAATCGGTACAGATATGTAAAAGAAACCAGAAACTTCTATGAAGGACTCGAGACTACCTCTTAAATCGTATAGTAATCGTAAAGTTATAGTCCGCAGTCTACATGTCGATATGAATCGGCTCCGTACCATATGTAAAGACAGGGTCTTCTTTTATGCGATATGCTAGGTATAACTAGCATGCTTGTCTGAAGAAAGACAAAGTGATTATCAGGATTGTGATGCATAAAAAAATCCTTTTTTTCAGTTTAAAAAGATATAAATGAAATCGATCAATTGTTGAACACAACCTTAAAGTGTCTTGTTCTCTTAATGTTATTTGCTATGTCGTTTTATCCTGCAATCAGCCAACTATTGTACAAATAACAGGTACATAAATAAATTTTTGCTTTATTTGTACTTGTACAAATAAAGTCTCCTGTTACCCCTCTTCCATGTTGAGCAAGCGATAATGTGGATATTTCTTTTTGCGTACCAGTTAATGTTGGGGTCCTCTTTGCGGTCCGCGTTTAAACTATGTCGATTTCTTTGAAAAAATTAAAGACAATGATTTAGATTTTAACAACTAAAGTTTCAAGTGTTGGGTGTAAATTTCAGGATAAAAACAATATATGTACATTGTCGGAAAATATGAAATTTATATTTTCCGACAATGTACATATATTGTATATATATTGCTCACTCAACGACGCATAAAGCTCATCTCAAGTTATTCATACATATTTCAGAATGTCGAAAATCTACAAAGGGTACGGAATACAAAGGTCGAATTAGTTTGACACAAACTGGGCGTACCTGTCAGTATTGGGAACGGCAATATCCACAAAAACACAGGTTTAAAAAGCTTAAAACGGAACATAATTACTGTAGAAATCCTGACAACAGCGGACAACCATGGTGTTATACGAATGATCCAACCAAACGCTGGGAATATTGTAAGATACCTATTTGTGGTAAGTTTACTTGCTTTAAATTGAATGTCATTGCATTGCAATAATATAGAAATCGTAATATAGGAATCATTATATTGTTCTTTGTTCTTTTCTTTTTTTCAATAAATTGACAAAATTAAACTGCTATATCCTTATTTAGTAGCAAACGATATTATTGCTTTGTTCACTTATTGTTAAGGAATAGCAGTGCACAGCATTTACTTTTTATTCTGTAATTTTATATTGAAATAATTGAGTAAATTATTCATATAGGTTTGTTATACATTAGTGACTTAAATGAAAAAGTTCAATACAAAATATTTGATTTATCTAATACACAAACATTACAGTTATTTTTTTTTCGCATTGCATTTTAAGCTATGAAAATTTTTAGAACTGGTATTCATAACAGCGAAATATCCAGTTATATTAATATTAATCGCATTAATAAATATGCATATAAAAAATGTCATACAATAAAAGAGGGGCGAAAGATACCAGAGGGACATTCAAACTCATAACATGTGCATTTCATTAGAGAATTTGATTAATTTCATACATGTGCATTTCATTTGAGAATTTGATTAATTTCATACATGTACATGTGCATTTCATTTGAGAATTTGATTAATTTCATATGTGTGCATTTCATTTGAGAATTTGATTAATTTCATATTTTATGAAAAGTTTTACCGTGTTTTTTTACTGAAAACATTGGAAGAAGTTCCTACAAAAATGAATGTCCTAATTGTCGCCTCATATTTTACGGGTAATTCACTTTCCTTCGTTCGGAAAAAATAATATATATCTCCCCTCCAAATACAAAATGCTGAATACATGTAAGCAACAAGTCTGGCAAAATACACAATGTTTTCTTCTGTTTTCACATGAACAGGACAAAACATGTGTTTGTAACTCATGAGATGGGAAGTTTACTCAATGTTATATATTATCATTATAAACCTGGCCACAACGGAACATTGAACGTTAATAGTCGCTCTGAAAGTTACCTTCTTTGAAACTGTATCGAATATTCGGTAGAATTCCCTCACATCTATACTAATAAAATAACATAAAGTCCACATTTTGAGGATCGTTGCTTAACATTGACAACATATTGATTAAATCATATCTTATACACACAATTAGTCGGTAAAATTTCCCCTTCCGGACTGATCCTTTTGTATTCCGTGTAATTGAAAAATACTGATGTCTTACAAATTCCAGCTTCTTTCCGATACGATTGTAATGTTATTGATGGGACAGGGCTTCCGGGTCGTTACCTTACATTGCAGGAACCACTATTTCATGATCTAGTTGGTTTCTAAGTTAAATTCTGCAATTTGAAACATACATGGCTCTTATGTCTTACCTTCAAGTTAAGTGAAAATCTATCCAGGACAAACCTTCTGGTGACGTGTGATGGAAAAATCAACATACCGTGAATGAGATATAAGATCGGAATGATTCCCGGAAGTTCGTTTGTACAAAAGCGGGATCTGAGAAACAGGCAAATCGAGCCCTCCTATTTCTGTTTCATATAACTTTTTAAATTCAAAATAAACACTCAATAAGGGTTTTATAGTGATCCCCAGTCCTAAAGCTTTCGTTTGATACAAAAAAGTAAAATCACAAAAATACTGAACTCCGAGGAAAATTCAATTCAATGGGAAAGTCCCTAATCACATGGCAAAATCAAATGACAAAACACATCAAACGAATGGACAACAACTGTCATATTCCTGACTTGGTACAGGCATTTTCAAATGTAGAAAATGGTGGATTGAACCTGGTTTTATAGCGCTAAACCTCTCACTTGTACGACAGTCTTATCAAATTCCGTTATATTTACAACGATGCGTGAACAAAACAGATATTATAAATAAAATAGTCAAAATATGGGTACAGCAGTAATCACTGTGTTACAATTTCAAAACAAACAATTATTTACAAAAAAGGTTGATACAAATGCACCAAAATAACTAAATATTTTAAAAGTAACAGCTATGAGTATAAACTATTTTGTTTTAGATATGTACTAAAGTCTGGTATTTTCCCAGACCGAGCCTGAATTAGTGTTTCAACACCATAACAATCTCTTAACCAAACATTATATTGAGCTTTTAATTTTGACTCGTTGTTTATAAAATTCCATGTTTTGTAGAATTGTATATGCCACCCTCAACCCCCTTTTTCCCCATTATGGTACTGCTACTGTTTCAACTGAAATTGATTTATTGATTTTGAACAGAATAAGGATTCTTGGGTTTTTTTTTTATTAAGCCGGGTTACCATTTCATTGAAGTATACACTGCATGTTCATTTAAGGAACCATGGTCGTTTTGACTCGTTACTTGATCTCAACCGAAGTCCCTAATTCACGTTCACCAAGGGAAGTTTTGCACTAATAAGGGTTCGCACCGTGTCGTTCTGCCCCAATTTTCGTAATTCATAGTAATTAGGCATAATCATAGGGATATAAAAGCTTTTAAGTGTAATCTATCAAAGGTCTTAAATAAGCACTAACGATGGTCGTTAAAATCTTTTAAAGACCGGTTAATTTCATATAAGCTACTTGTTTTTCACTCGTTCCGTTGGTTGATAACATTTGATATTGTCATTTTTTATTGACTTCGGGGCCTTTTATAGCTGACTATGCGGTATGGGCTTTGCTCATTGTTGAAGACCGTACGGTGACCTATAGCTGTTAATTTCTGTGTCATTTTGTCTCTTGTGGAGAGTTGTCCCATTGACAATCATACCACATCTTCTTTTTTATATTCCCCCTTTTTGAATATTCCTTGGGGATAGGTTATTATGTTATATTATTTTTAAAAGATGATAAAAAGTACGGCTTCCATGCTTTTCATAACAAGCATCAAAACGGTGTCATCTATTGATGTTGCAGTAATCTGCAGTATTCATAGATATTCAACAGAGTACTGCGACATCAAATATAGAAATTAACACTTTACTAATTTGGTACGTCCGAAGTGCTTTTCTGGATATTGTTTAGTATATAGGAAGGTTGTTTCTTACCTGTTGCCTACAGGTGGATATGGATCATCATCATAACCATAAATGTCTTTGTCATTGGCAGTATCCTGAAACACAAAAGTATTTATTAATGAATATAACATCTTTAAGTTAAAAATCTCCAATTGATATGAAAAAATATCGACTCTCATGTCTGGCAACTTTTCTGGTATTTAATTCAGAAAAGCATCAAACTCATAACATCTGGCATGTTTCTACTTATTATGCTACAAATTTGTTGACAGTACTGCCAGGTGATCATAGCTTTTTAAACGGTTTTAAACACCTGTTTATTGTGAAAGACATGTGGTTGTCCTTTAGCCTTTAAATCTAAGGTAACTTGTGAGTAGCAAAATTCTGAGTACTCTCTTTCTTTCTACAGAAAAGGCATTGTTCGACTATTTTTTTTAACCAACTTATACTCTGCGGTCCTAAACAGTGAAGGTAACGAAATTGGTTTTCTTGAAAAGACCTTTCTTTTTTTCACGTAAAACCGGCATTGCAGGGCAAACTCGTGGGTGCCTCTTTTAGAGCAAATCCGGGATCCAACAGGGCTTTGTAGAATTGTGAAGGAAACACAGCATTATGGGAAGGATTATCAGGCAGTTTAACACGATCGAATGGTTTGTGTATTATTGAGGTTGAAGATATTATTAGAATTTCGGCATTGTTCAGTTCGAGTAATATTGGTCTCCTTATGAATGATAAAGTGCTGGTTGCAATACATTGTTCAAGAAAGCGATTAGTAAATGAACTTGTAGTTGTTAACACAAGACCGAACTAAATAAGTAAATGTATGTTGTTCTTTTTACTTTTACAGCAAAAGCAAAAGCAAAGGGCGAGCACGCCAGCATTATTTCAATTTTCATTGTTTCCCCTTACTTGGCTAATAATTCACGAGAAGCCTTGACTATGTTGAGGATAAAATATATTATTTATATATTCCTATTAGTAAATACACGTAAATTGTATGTATAATTGAATTAATGACAATCGTTCTGCATCAGCCATCCATGGTGATACCGATATCAGTCACGGTCTCAAAAGGCTTTATCACACCGAAACAGAAATATGTCGGTGTCAAGTATAATAAAGTGTTTATGGAATGACTTTTTTTACAAAAACACCCCGTATCAGCCCTCGACCAATGTAATGCCTCGAGCAGACCTCTCGGGGGATTACATTGCGGTTTCGGCTTCATACAGGTGTGATATGGAAAAAGATATCTGATATTCTCTATTTATATTTTTTGAATTTTTTGCCCCGAGCGATTAATTCAGAAATTTCATATTTGATACTTACAACATTTGCAGCTAGATCAGGATGGTCGGTTTGTAATCCATCGTCCAATACTGCAATAACGATACCAGCACCAGAGTAACCTGCTGACCAGGCGCTTCCGACTTTCATTGTTGGAGTAACATCGTCATTCTAAAAATGATAATTGTGATTCTTATTTCTTCAATTTTTCGTGCATTTAGAGTTATTTTCCTAATGCTTCAGCTTGGTTGGCTTTCTTGCTTTGTCTGTATAAATGTTTGCTCAAGCATTGTAATTAAGATTGATATCTGCAACCAATAGATATGCGGTGCTTCAGCCTGTATACAGTATACTCTGCATTATACTTTACACCCAACAACATTTAAGTATAGTGTATACAAGCTGAAGCCCCACCTATCTTTTGATTGCAGATGTCAATCTTAATTACAATGATCGAGCAATCATTTATACAAACAAAGCAAGCATGCCAACCAAACCTTTAAACTACAAGCATTAGGAAAATAGCTCTAACCGATTCATATTATTTGGGATTCATTTTTAAGAACGTGCCAACGTTCATTAAATTTCGGATATGATTTTCCGAAAAATAATTTCGGAATATTATTCAGGGGCTTTCAGTAAATTATAAGATTATAGTGGTTTTACCACTTTCACCCAATAAAAATGATATTTCGATATATGAATTTTCTAAAATGCTCGGCAAACTTCACATATAAAATTTTAAAAATGTAACTATCTAAATTAGATAAATTTTACAATTAAGTGTAATAGAATCTATGTATCTAGTACACATTTTTTTTTTTGGGGGGGGGGGAGGGGCAGCTAAAGCCCGCCTCAGGGTGCGGGATTTTCTCGCTGTGTCCAAGACCCATTGGTGGCCTTGGGCTGTTTTCTGCTCTTTGGTCGGGTTGCTGTCTCTTTGACACATTCCCCGTTTCCATTTTCAATTTCATTATATACTTATTTACTTAATATATGTGTAGAGGGAATACATTTAAGCTATCTTTTACGAGTTTGATATAAATAAAGGAAATGTGAGAAAAACGAACTAGAGGCTCACCTAGTTAGTTTCTGCCAAAAAAACAACAAAGGGTAAAATAATTGTCATTTAAGAGCAATCACCCCTGTAAAGTGTCTACTATCGCTTGAAGCAAAATTTGACATGTGTAGATCTTGCTGATCATGTTTTGCTATTAAAAGTGTCTATCTTCCCATTATAGTTTTCAAGATAATAGGCATCAAAACACTAAAAATGGGTAGAAATCGTCATTAAAGAGCAATAAACCCTATAAGAAGTCGACTGACGATTAACTGGCCACAAGACTTGTATGTAAATCTGGTTTTGCTGATCTGTTCTGCTTATTCAAGTATTAATTTATAGTTTTAAAGATATCAGGCAAAACCGCCAAAAAAATGTAAAAATCGTCATTAAAAGGCAGTAACTCCAATAAGGAGTCGTCGGATGATTTCGACAATGTTGGCTTATTGGTAGATTTTGTCTTGCTTATCATTTTTGCTATTTAAAGTGTCTATCTATCTTTTATAGGTTTCAAGATATAACGCAAAAACGCTAAATAATAGGTAAAAATATGATTAAAGGGCAACAACTCCAATAAAGAGTCTTCACACAATTTTGGTCAAAAATCTTATTTGTAGATCTTGTCGTGTTGATCAGTTTTACGTTCAAAGTTTCCCTCTATCTTTAATAGCATTCAAGATAATAGCCATTATTTTTTTTAATTGGTAATATTCGTCATTTAAGGGCAATAACTACTGCAAGAAGTCGTCTGACAATGTTGATGTTTAAAATAAAGATTAGGTAGATCTCAACAATCTGAACATGTTTAGCCTTGTCATATTTTTTTTTATCTTATAAACATTTTTAAAGATAATAGACAACACTTGCAATTTATCCCTATGTTCTATTTTAAGCCTTGTCGGCTTTTTTGGTTGGCAAGCGGGGCCACCGGACACATTTTTTCTAGATACTAGATACCCCATTGATGATGGTGGCCAAGTTTGGTTAAATTTGGCCTAACAGTTTCAGAGGATAAGATTTTTCTAAAAGTAAACAGACCTTTTGGGCCAGATGAGCTAAAATGACAATTAACCTTAAAAGCAAAAGGGAGTAGGTCCGGTAAGGGCTGATTTTGGCCTAAAATTTCAGGTTCATCTGACGAAAGATTTTGGACACTTTTTAAACACTTAAGTGTCTATTTTGGTTGATTCTATTAGTTTATGTGAAATATTTTAACTGATTTACTCATTAAAAACGCTCCGATTCAAGCTTAGATATGAAAAATCTATCAAATATGCCAAAAAATGTCACTTTTCAGATGGTTTTTGCCAAAGATGAAAATGGCCGCATCCGTGTTCATCCTCAACCTTTATATATGTTATGTGTTATCATGAAATACAACTTACATTTCAATATTAAGAATGAACACAAATGCGGCCACTTTCATTTAAGACGGAAACCGTCTAAAATTTAACTAAAATGCTAAAATTGTGAAGATTTCAGTAACTTAGCATGTTTTAATGATGCTAGTTCCCGATACATGTGCATTGTATTGTCAAAAACAGCCCATATCTATGTAGCAGAAGCATTCTACTTTCCAATAAATAACTAAAAGTTTAAATTTTAACAATTTTGTAAAATTGCTTTATTTTGGGGCCAAAAAGGGGTCTTACTGGGACTTACTCCTTTAACAAGATTAACAGAAAA